GTGGTAGTAATTTTGAGAAAGGTTGGTATTGCTTGGATGGTTTAAAAGAGGCAGACAACTGATGGGAGATTTCTTCCCAATCCGGAATTCTTTTCACTTCCACAGACACTGCTTGAACTTCATTTGTAATAGATCCTTAAAGCAGATACTCTTTGAGTTGTAGAAAAGGACACAGTAGAGTTCAGATGTGACTTTGGTGTTCAGTTCTCTTTCAGGCTGAGCACAGATTCATCTGGCAGCAGGAAGAAGGGTTTTGCCAGATTTCTCCCCTTTCCCAGCACTTATTATGGAAAGCAGCTGCTTGCTCCAAAAGGTGTTGCACAATAAGCTCAGCGCTGCCTTCAGATCTTCAGTAATTACTAGTGTCTCTCTTTTATGGCGAAGGTCTGCTGCGTCATTGCTGTGATTTGGTTGAGGCTGGGGTTGCCGAGTTGACGCTAGAGAACGTGAGCTGCTTACCTGCCAGTGAACTGATCCAGTGGCAGAGGAGGAAGCTATTCTTGTGGTAGACTGAGCATTCCCTTGGTTAATACCAGGCAACCTCAACATAGCCTGTCTAAAGAGCCCGTTTCCTGCAGTAAAAAGCTGAGTATTTCCTGTCTGTGTCAGTTTCTAATACTTTCACACAGAAGTCTGGTTCATTCTGCTTCCATGTCAGTATGTATTTTGTAAAATGCATGGAATATATTTTCATATGCAATTTCCATTAAAATATCCATTTTCATACGCAATTTTGCCTAATATATCCCCCCAATCCATTAGTTTTGTAGTTTCTTGTGTATTCCTTTTTGTACACATTTAATTTTGAGAGGCAACATTAATCGAATAAAGGCATTTGAAGGAGGAATGTGTTCTGATCTGCATATTAGTCTGAAAATGCAAATTGGGTCACTTTGCTTAGAAGAACAAACCAAATTGCCTTCCCTCCATTCTCACATCCTGGCTCCCTGCTTCCTGATTCCCCATGAGCTCCCCTTCTATGCATAAAATATCCCACTATTTTAAAAGAACAAATAAATGCATGCCAGTTTACATTTTATATACACAAGTGTTCATCCACGTTTATATTTTTACCTGATGAACTCTGTGGCTTATAGTCATAGTACTGACCACTGCCTTCCCATCTAGATTCCTTCACTCCTGTATCCCTTTCCCGACCAGATCTGCTTTTTAAAAGAGCTTTTCTCCTCTTGAAGGCTTTTTTTCCTCTTTTGAAAGTGCTCTTTATGGGACCCCTGCTATCCTCCCCTGGCATCTAATGAGGGAAAAAAAGAGACAGGCAGAAAGATGAGAGACACAAGCCATAGAACAGGGGAGGGGAGGGGCGTGCATGCGTGCCTGTGTTTTCATTTCTGCATATGTAGGTATGCTCACACACATGTATGTTGCGGGTGGCCCTGTTCATTAATAATGTGTGTTTCCCAAGGCTCTTCTCTGGAGCCCACTTGCCCCTGGCAGCTGTTGGTGAGTTGGTCGCCAGTGTGCCATTCCTGCAAATAATGCAGCAGTCTAGCTACTACACTCTGTTTACAGCATTGCCTTCTGTGGCAGCCACTTGATCATCCCACACAAGAGTGCAGGAGTCCTCAGCCTTGCTGGCCCCATGGGCACCTTTGGGAATGTGAGCAATTTCAAATTCCACCACTATATGGCTCTCAGGGATGATGTAGCTGGTTATATAAGGCCTGGGTAGTCAAAGGTGACCTAAAAGGGGGTGTTAATGGCTGTGCTGGATGGAGAGAGTCTCAAGGCTTATTGGGAGAGAAGGGGGAGCAGAGAGGCAAAGGGGGAGGGGGAGAGAAAGTGTAGGGTTAAGGGAAAGGGGCAGAAACAGCAAGGTAAAGAGGAGAGGGAGAATGAGCAAAGCTACAGGCTGGGAGGGAGAGAGGAAACTGGAGGGCAAAGGGCTTGAGTAAGAGCGAGGCTACTGGCTAGGTGTGGGTGCATGGTGGTAGGGGGAGTGAGCTAAATTGGTGGTAGGGATAGAAAGGGTGAAGCCAGCGAGAAAAAAGACTGCCCCAACGTCCTATAAAAGCAACAGCAGCAAGATATTTTAAAGGAATGGAAGGTGTTAGTGGATGGGTGGCATGGGGGACCTCTGCTGGGGAGTATTGGGGGCTACACATGGCCACCTGTGGCTGCAGGTCACAAACTGCCCACCTCTGCTGGGCAACACATAAAGAGTTGGTAGTCTGGTTCCACAGTGCAGCTTTTCTACCTAGTCTCTCGGGAGTTTCCATTTGTAATTCTCATAGACACCCCACTTTTTCCCCTTCCAAAAGCAAGTGTTGTAATGTGATCACCCTTTCAGGCTGCAAGCAAATATTGATAAAATAGGTTTGTTTAACAGAATCATAATCAGCTCCTAATAGAAAACCAGCAGGTTTATATTAGATGTAGTTCATGATTCTAGCCTGAGGATGAGTAACTTCCAGATATTTTGGTCTACAGCTCACATTAGAAATTATCTAATTCCCGAAACAAGACAATACCTGCTTTAGGTAAGGGAAATAAAGCTGTACTCAAATAAACTAAGCGGAGTTTTTCTAATGATTGGGCTGAAATAGATGTGCAGCGTGGTTATGAACCACCCAGAGAGCCCCAGCAATTGGGTGGTATAGAAAACGAATAAAGCATCAGTAGCAGTGGCACCATACTTTAACACTGGCAATGCTACCTAGGACTGATGGGAGGTGCAGGACAAAACATCTGAAGGGCCACAAGCTGCTCATCCCTATTCTAGTCCAATGAAAGGGAAGGGGGGAGTCTGATCTGCACTTAAAGGGCCACTGCATGGCTAATTCTCTAGGCCTGGAAGCAGAAATGATACCGCATCCCATGCAATGTGTTTATTTGACTGCCAAGGGGTGCCAATACTGCAGTCAGCAAACCAGCTGTGAGGAGGGGGAGTAAGGGTAGGATTGAGGGCTTTGGTGTTATTTTGCCCAGGGACCCATAGAAAAACTCCCGTATAGCCAGTAGTCATGAGAACTGGCTCAGTGGACTTATAGAATGCTTTCAATGAGTCTACTGTAAGTATCAATATATCTGGATCTAACCCCAGAAGGACACTAGTTTGAGTAATAAGACTGCTTTATATTTCCTGAACTGGCTGATGGAAACTCTTCCAGCTGCCAAGCCTCTGAGTGAGGGAAGGCAAGGCACAGTAGGAAGAGATGCAAACAAACCGGGAGCATTTCTGCCTCTCTGCTGAGAGGCAAGACTGCTGGCATTTGCAGAACTTGCTCAGGATGGAACCTCTAGAGATAGAGGTAAGGTCTCTTCGGGACAGAAGCCCTGGGCTAGGAACATGAGCCTCCACCCTGAGCCTGCTCCTATTTAATTTATTTTATGATCATTGAGACCTCATTTGCATCCTGTGATGCTCAGGGAGAATGTGGCAGCGATCACTTAGCAAACTTGATGATAAGCATTTTTGTTGGAGGAGAAAAGCTTTTCAGAGTCAGCACTAACTTGACTCACTGGCCAATGGCACTTCTGGACATAAGGGTGCATCTCGTCCAGCGTTCTGTTCGCACAGTGATTAACCAGCTCCCAACAGGAAACCTCCATGTAGGGCCTGAGTGCAACAGCAGCCTCCTACCCATGTTCCACAGCAACTGGTGTATGTAGGCATACAGCTTCTGTGTTTGGTGATCGAATGTAGCAGTCAGGACCATTAGCCACTGATAGCTTTATCCTTTCTGAATTTGGCCAAAAGCCACTCAGAGGGGTGGGCATCACTACATCTGGTGGAACCAAGTTCCATAGTTTAACTACATTCTCTGGAAAGAACACCTTCCTTTTTTCTATCCTTAATCTCCCACCAATCAACTTCATGGGGTGACTCTAGATTCTAGGATTAGGCAGGTAGGAGAAAAATAGTACCCTCACCACTCCATGCATAATTTGTATGCCTTTATCATGTCTTGACCCAGGAAACCTGGCTGCCTGTTAAATATCTTTTGCTAGTCAGAAAGTGGCCAAACTAGTAAAACATCACCTCTTGTTCGGCCGGCCAGCCTGCCTGCCTGCCTGCCTGCCTGCCTGCCTGCCTGCCTGCCTGCCTGCCTTCCTTCCCACGCAATACCCAAAGGATTGCACCTATGACATTTTGGTGACTGAGGAATGCCTCAACTGCCTCTCCCACTTATCTGTGCCATTTTAATGCTTTGCTTTTATCAGCATTTTTCCCTTTCACCCCTCCCACTTCCAAGGCTGTACACTCATTTTTTCCTGTTTCTTCAGATCATGTCTCTTACAAATGGAAGGAAGAAGCAAGGCTAGTTCTACACACATTTCCTTTATGACAGGATAGGAAAACAATTGGATAGATGGTTATTTATTTATTATATTTATATTCCACCATTTTTCCTGCAAGGAACCTATGGCATAATCCTTTCCTAACATAATCCCTTTTTTGTATTATCACAGCAATCCTGTGAAATAGGTTAGGGTTAGAGTCTACGGCTTCATGGCTTAGTGCAGACTAACACTGAATTTGCCAAGTCTCAGCTGAACAGTCATTGTAACCACTACACCATGTGTTTGAAGGGAGTTTCTACAGACTGTTTTAAGTATTTGAGATCATAGGATCATAAACAAGGGCTGTGTGTATAGTTACCTCAAATAGGATATGCTCTAAGATTAAAAGCAAATCAAAATTATATAACAAGGAGTCCCACATTCTGTATGAATGCAACCTTCCAATTTTGTACTAAGAACCAGTTATTGCATCTAAATCTCTTCTAATGTTAAGGATTTTATGGAATACAACTTCTTTAGAAAGGACTGGAGTCTATAGGAGTAAGAAAGACAACAGGAATGACCTGTTAGGGAAATAGAAGGAGGTGGACAGAAATAAAAGTTTCTGCCTGCAATTTGGCTTCTGAAAATAATGCCTAACACTATCTAGTTTTTAAATATAATCATAACTGGAAGCCTCTTAATTAAAATAAAGCTGAAATTGTCAGGAATGACTTACAGGTCAGATGTCTTTTCTATGTAATTTCTGTGTAAGCTTGTGAAGGATGGCCGTCATAATAGCGAAGAACCAGTGACCTGAATGCTTTGTAAATATACTGATTCTGGATGCAGAGAAAACCACCACTTTTCTTAGCCTGCTCAGCTGTATGATTGAGGTCTCCAAAGCATGTCCATTGGTCTTGAAGGTGCTGAGAAACACACCACTTAGCATTATCATGATAGGAGGAGAAGGAGGAATTCCATGGTGTCTGGATTAGTTTTATATTATAGACGTGATAAGGAAGAGAGCAATTTGAGAAAAGTGCATGACCCATATGTTGCCAGGACTCCACTAGAAAATCTGTTTGCAGTTTCTGAGCCATCCAGGTGACGTAGATATCTGGAAAATTAGGGGAAGAAGCAGTGAGAAATTATCAGTGGCTTAGCTTCTTAAAATTTACTGCATCTCCATTTTGTAGGGGTAATATTAAGACATTTCTTTTGAAATGTCTTCTTTGAAAACTTTTAAGTGAAAAGATAATGGGGTAAATTAAGATGGCTTTGTGGAAGGTGAATGGCTTTTTGTACTTGTGTTGAAATAGTAAAAATAGCATGTTGGAATAATAGCATGAGCTTCTATTGCTAGGAATTGCAGTTTAACACATTGGAGGGCCCCATGACGGAGAGGACTATATTAGGGGAACATGTTCCCTCGTGAGGCCTGAATCACATTTTGCTCCATTTCTGCAACTTACCATGATACTTAGTTCTTGGCTGCCTTCCTACGCTTGGAATATGGGAGATGGTGATGCAAACACCTGTGTTCGGTTTTTGACAGCTCACTGAAAGCAAAAATACCTCAGCTTGTTTTTCCAGAAGGGTTTGAATGGAATTGTCTTGGCTTCTGCCCTCTTCACACCATCCCCTGGGCTGAGATGAAAGCAGGGGCTGACAGAGGGGTACTTATGCCCTGGCTGGATTAGTTAGTATGAGAAGCTATGGCCTTGGCTTCCCATTCAAACATTCCCTGTAGTCTTCCCTATTCCAATTTCCCTGACAGAATCCCTGACTATACTGCTCTGGGGTTTCTGGGAACATAAGATACTACATCAGGGGAGGTGGTCCAGATCCCTACTTGTCTCTACCACAGGGTCTCTACTCTAGGTAGTAGTGTGCACAGGAGGACATGGCAAACTGCCTCCAGTAGTTGCCTCCTGATGCAACTGGTCAGAAGGCATCACACAGTCATTGTGCCTTTGCCTTCTTAATTAAAAAAGCAAAACCACAACATAGAAGAATCGGTGGAAAATATTATAATTTGGACCTTCTGTAAAATTTTGTGAGTGAGGCAGAGCAATGACATGATAAAACCTTTGTCTGGAAGCACCTTTATATGGAAGAAGGAAAATTGAAAGTTATAATTATGCTTCTTGCGGAAGGCTGCTATTAAAGTATGTCTTTTTTGCCTCATATGGAAGCTCCCTATTTATTTTAGCCAAAAACAGAAGGGCCTCCATATGTGTCATCCTTCATTTTCATACATAGGAAAAACACAAAATGCATGTTCCACCAAAATGTTAATATAACTGAGGAGCTAAATAGCAAATTAAACCAAAATGGTATTACAGTACACTCTCTCTTTCAGTGTCAATACTGCAAAGGTACATTGCTAAGGTGTCATATTTTTCAGACCACAGCTCTCTGAAGAGTGCTTCAGTCCAGAGTTAAATTCAAGGAAAAACAGAGAGGACAGGAAGACATTGGCTATCAAGGACAGCAGGCCAAGCAAAACACAGGTCACCTTTAGACTGAGCTGTTTAGAGAGGATTTTTTAAAAAATTGTGGCAAACCTCTAAGTTTCCCTGCACATCCTGGCATGGTGTCTGTTTCTCAACGGCCATCTTAGGGTGTCATTCCTATCAACGTGGGGACAATGAATTCATTTTTAGAACAAGAATACTGTCTGCTAAGGCTTCTGAGTGTTTAAGACACCATACATACTTTTATTGCTATAATCTGCTTGGTGTTGCGCTCCAGCTCCATTCCAGTTAATGCATTTCTCTCCTCCTTAGTCTGAGGTGAATGAATTGCCCACTTTATTCCTATAGGCAGGGGATGACTAGTAGTTGAAGCATCATTTTTTCTGCCGTCCGCCCTTTCAGTAGAGCCTTGTCCCAGCTCCAGAAAGGCGATTACTTTCACAAGGGATTCTCCTACCTTCGTGATCCTTGCGTGTTTTAGCAAAGCTGAGGACAGTTTGTTCCTGAGCGGAGTAAAGCTCAGTGAGGTGTTGTTTCCAAGGGCCCGGAGGCAGCTTCGATCCGCTACATAGCAGTTGCAGATTGAACAGCCTGGCGTGAAAGATCTCTGCGATGGAGCAAGTGTAGATATTTGGATTGTAGCACAACAGTTGTTTGTCTGAACAGAACAAAAAGAGATTAACAGAGGCTCCCACAGAGAAATAGTCAATCCTGTTCGAATTTTGAAGAAGGTCTATCAGAGGGCTTTTTACAGGAAATTTATTGTGAGGGGATGGGAGGGATCTGTTATTCACAAACATAAAGAATATTGTAGATGGCCATAATAAACAGCTATGCGAAGCACTGAATCAATTAGGATCCAATCTGGAAATGTAGAAAAAGCCTCTTCCGAACAGTAAACTATAGTTACCTATTTCCAGAAACTGATCATATTGGAATGTTAGGCAGATCACAGACTGTCCATAGGTTTTTCCAGTGGGTAGATATCCATAACCATCTTTAGGAAATGGAGGGAATTTAGGAATACTATGTATAACCTAGAAACCTTGGTATTGGTCCAAAAGTAGAAACCCTGTTGTGAACAGGAGAAAAGAAAATGGAAAGCAAAGGGAGTACAAGCCTACCTGCAGGATGATATAATACCTTCCTTAATACCAAGCATTTGCCTTGTGAATACATAATTTACAGCATTCTGTAAAGTTCTCCACCCTTTTATTCCTGAACTTTTGGGGACTATTCATGAATTAACTTGTATGATATGGATAGTTTACTAGGCCCATTATGCAGGTAAAAAAATAAGGGTATAGAGTTTAAATTGCCCAGTGAGGAAACCATGATAAAGCTAAGAACACAATCTCACAGTTCCTGATGTTTATAGCTTTCCTTTTATGTTCTACATTTTGCCTGCCAATGATCCCAAAAACAAGTGACATTTATCTGACCTTCAGAGCAACTGTATGGGGGCTGCTAACTGATAAATGACTACCACAAATTAATAAACCAAAATCTATGGGTCATTCCAGTCATGTATCTCTAGCTGTCATTTCTAATTTGTCCTAGAGGTACCTAGATTCCCAGTTGCATTTCTGTAGGAAGTTGATCAGCCCTTTCCTCTTCCCAAAAGTGATATATTATACATTCTTTCTCAATGCAAAATGAATTTCAACATGTGCCTTAAGGAGAAAATCTGCTCAACCGTTTAAATATGGTGAAATACAGCTTGCTGAACATATAGCACCTAGATGGCATAGCCAACACTGAACCTACGTGGAAGTAGCCATATGCTTGCTCCAGTGCACGTCAAGCTTGCATCAAACTACCTATCTTACACTGTAAGGCTACCAGTGACTACTAGACATGATAGTTAGGGTTAGAGTTAGGCTAGTTGAGCAGGGTATACAGAAGGCCGTGTGTGCCACACAGGTCTGCCTTGCAACATTGCCGTTGCTTTCTTTCCCCTAGAATCTGCTGCCTGAAGCAGTTACCTCACTCAGCCCACTGGAAGACTCAGCCCTGAAGCAGATCTGGATTAGCAGCTGTAGATACATGAAGTGATCTGCAATGTTAGTCATTCATATAAATTTAAATAATGAGAATAACAATATTTATCTGTAGATGGAAGAAAAACCAGTTCAGCATTGTTACTACCTTTAGAATGGCCATGTGTCCAGCTGTAGTTCATTTTGTTAGGTGGTTCATCATTGTATATCACAAAAGCAGTGGTGTTCTTCTAAAAATAGAATAAAACACAAATGTATTGCATATTTTATTGAGATAAGAGAATAGGAAAGCCCCTCACTCTCAGCATATTATGAAAAACCGTGGAAGCTTTTGTCAGAAGGTTGAGGTTAAGATCATCAGTATAATATCAGGCAACAGTATAATATCAGTGCAGCTAGAGGTAAGTGTGCTAAAAATGATGGAGGGAAAATCAGTGTTGGAGTTTTATATCTTATTTCAGCTCATATATAGTAAAAGCTAAAGCACAGATTCTTCAGTAAGGAATATTCAACTGTGTTACAGGAAATTTTGAGGCTCCTTGGAAACTTTTTTTGGAATTTCTCAGTGAGAAGACTAGTAGATACTCTGTCAGGTTGCCTGCCACTATCAGTCATCCAATGCGATGCTTGAGGATATTAGGCCAAGGGTAATAACAAGGCACAGCACTAGAACTTTGTTGTTATGTGTTGCCAGGTTATCTCCAATTTATGGTGACCCTATGAATGAAAGCTCTCCAAAATGTCCTGTTCGTGACAGCCCTGCTCAGCTCTTGTAATTTCAAGGGTTCCTTTATGGTCCTCTAGAATAGGAAGAGTCCAAAGACATACCAGCAGCCAATTTCTGTAGGGTCATCAAATGTTTCCTGAAGTAAATTGACTGTGACCTGATTCAGTAAGACATTGCTTATGTTCTTGTGTAGGTGTACATAGTAAGCACCTCTTAACACAGCTTAGTTATGCCATAATACATGAGATCTTGAGTGTGCACTCTTGCTTCCTGCATTTAAAACACATTGGTTGATCCTCTGAGTAGTCACAGAAGTCTAAAGTCAGTCCATTTCTGGTCAAAAATGTGTTCCGGAATACCCTGAAGGAGGAATGGAGTTTGAGGGACAAATTCCAGTTTGAAGAAGCTTTCATGAACAGCATTCCATTGGCAGGCAAATGGAATGTGTGGCCAAATATCCCAACATACTAGAATAATTTAGCTTAAAGGTCTTACTATCCATAAGTAAACCTTAGGAGAGGCATTCCAACCTCTTACAATGTGGGAAATGCACAAGAGCCAGGAAACCACGCAACAGTTGGTGGTTGGGGCAAATGGTATGGCAGATTGGGACCCCAGAAAGGCCAGATTAGGCCTCTGGGTTTCAGGTTCTACACCAGTGTTCTTTGTGGTCAAATTTTATCCAATGATCCAGTTGGTGACACATCCTAGGACTGTATTATACCCCAAGATGAGCAATCTTGCTCAGGTGAGCAGTGTTTTCATTCTAGAGGGACAACTGTAAATTATCTCTGCTGCTTTGTCTGTGGCCTGTGCCATATCATCTTATCTTTCTACTGGGTTTGATTAAAAGCAAGACTCCAGGTTGATCACTCAAGGTATTGGAGGGCTCTTGGGCAAGATGCCCTCAGTGAGTCTCCTATATGAGATGGTCCACCTTCTCCTTGTGGCCCAGTCTTGTGCAGTCTCCCAGCCTGCACAGCTAGTCACAGGAATTGCATGAGCCAAATGATGCTGCTTCCGCTGGAGAGGGGAGTGACTGCAAGAAGAAGGGGGGGTGGGCAGGGCCTGGAGTTCCCTGAGCTTGACACTTGAACCCTTTGTAGACAGTGCAGCCATTGGCAAGTGCCCAACAGAACCTACCCCAATGCCAGCTCTAAAATAATGAATTCTCTGCTAAGTCTTTTCACTGTTATTGTGTTTGGCATTGTGTGATGCATAATATTAGCTTAAACACCTTCTTTGTGTTTTAATGTGACTGCGTGAAAGATTACCAGAAAAATATTTATTTACAATAAACATCAGTGATTATTAAAACAAACTAAATGTAAGCCTTATTCAGAAAATTGCTATTAAAAGAGAAATAAATAATGTAAAAGAGTGATTAATGCCTAAAAATAAATTATGCAAACGAGTGATTAATGCCAAATTAGTTTGGCCCTGAGAATCAGCATAGTCACTACATTCTAAATTGGTAGTTAGGAGTCTTCTCAAATTTTCATTTGCAGAATCCTTGCTTGTGATTAAACATGACATAATTTCCTCAGGATGGGTGAATTCTCTCTCTCTCATATACCTGCATATCAGGTGGGGTGGGAACACCAGGGCTTAGCATCTCTCACAGATTTGAGATAAAACAATGGGAAAGTTAACTATGATGCTAATCCTTCCTGTATTTTTAAATGATCAAAAAGAAGCTTTTAATATGCTCATATACACTGCCTCAGCCTATGTCTGCAGACCTGGAGGTATTGCTATGTAATTTAAACAAACAAACATCTACAGAGAGAGACTGAGCTACATACAGCACTTTCTTGATTCTCCGCAGAGCAGACCCTGCTTTGTCTCTTGAATGTTTCTCCTTAGCAGAGTTTAATCATTTCAGAATGCAGAAGGTGTCAGGACTCACATGGGTGGTGGTGACCCACACTGGCTGAATTTCCCTTTGAGGCGTGGAACCAAGGGTGGGCTTTGAGGGCTTGACCCTCTCTAACTATTATTTGCCCTCTTAAGCTGTTTTAAATAAATAATTAAAAACCCAAAATTTTGTCCCTGAAAGTCCTGCAAACCAGATGAACTGCCCGCCACCCCTTGCCCCAGAACATTTAGACTGATTACGAGTCTGCTGTTGTCCTTGCCAGTAAATTCACCTCAGAACGAGCCGTCTGCTGTATCACATACCATTCCTGTCGCTGTCTCCCTGGTTTCTTGCTGCGATTTGATTATGGATTTTACACCCCTTTCTTAGCTTGGCTCATTTGTATTTGTTATCACTTGCCTTGGCCTTCTAAGTTTCATAGAGCTGCTGTAATGTTTGCCCCAGAGCACATGCTGTCATATTGATGAAATATTTACTTAGTTTCCAGGCTGGAGTCACAGAATCCATAAACATGTATTCTAGCCCACTTCCAGCATCACCATCACGCCTCATATGCTTTGGAAATTTGTAAAGAATATACCTGGAGGGGAAATGCAAACAAGCAAACAAAAATAAGGGGCAATCAGCTTGTCTTATTTAGAAGAGATTGGAAGAGCTTCAAGAAAAGAAGCTAAGTAATGCAGGGCAATTTCTATCTTAACAACAAATGTCTAGTAGTGGAGATGTAAATGTGTGGTTAAATGGAAGGGGATGAACAGCTTTTCAGATACACTTAGCTCAAGCTTTAGATTTTTCCACTGCCTGCATTCAAATAGCAGAGTGGCAGCTGCGTGTGGATCTGCACCTTAGCTGCTTGGCTGCAGTTTTACTTAGGCATGAAGGGAGATTTCAAGGAAGAAAGGCTGTCATTTTTATGGATTGTTTGATGAGGGTGCTTACAATTCAAAGATGCCTATCATATCTCCAATTTCTTAGGAAAGAGGGATTCTACTAAGCTCAAGCTCCTGTCCCCCATGAAACCTTCCAATTTCCCATTTCTCTGTCATGATCTCACATAGTCCAGTGGGCCCTAGATGGTGTTTAGGATCCTTAGGAAAAGGGTTCAAGACCTTCTGTAGTACTAGTGTGCATGATACCACACACGTCATGTTGCTATCGGTGTCAATGTAAGGCAACATTTTTCAGGGGAACCATGTGGTTAAAAAGTCATATGAAGGAAGAAGGGATGCTATATCAAGGTCACAGGAAGCAGTCCAGGGCCTACATCAAAGGCCGAGCACCTAAAGAGGGCCTGCGCAACAGCAGGTCCTACTGACAAGTACCCCCTGGAAATCCTCTTCTTGTTCACCATGGCAGCCTGCTCCTTTATCTGCTTCTTGCTCTGACCATCGCAGTGATGGTGGGGCTGATGCCAAGAAGTAAATGCCGCTGCCTCCTCGCTCACCAGGTTGCCAAATAAGCAAGCGGTAGCAATGATGAGAGAGAGGGTGACAGTAGCAGTCGGTGACAATTATGGCAAGAGGGTAGGTTCACTGAGGGCATCTTGCACCAGGGCCCTTCAAACCCTATTGGTGGAACTGAAGACGTCCTTTGAGTTGGGTCGCAGCTCAGCAGGAACATGTAATGCAGTGGACAAAGTTAGGCTGAGGAACAGGCACAGTACATACACAAACCAGAAATGTAGAGAGGGACACCTGCTAGTCTCCTCAGTCATAATTTTTGTTGCCCTGGAAATTCTAATGGAGAGCCTCCTTTCCTCTTCAGGAAGTTACCCTCCACATGCAGAGGGTGACAAAAGCAATGATGGGAGAGGAAGACAGTTCCAGAGCGCTTGGCTTGAGCTGGGACAGTAGCATCTTTGTTTGGAAGGTTATGGAAATAGTATTTTAATTATGCATTATTCATTGTGCAATACAAAAACCCCTGCCACATCATAAAAAGAAACAAAAGAAAAAAGTAAAAATTCCGTATTTGAACAGTATTTAAGAAAAGAAAAAGATCTGTAGCACTTGTTATGGTTATATTGTATATCCTTATATGTTAATATATAACAGAACATACTATTGTCATTAAAAACAATTATGTCAGCAAAGGCATACCATATATTGATATATTTATCCATCTGCAATTTACACTTGAAAGTTACCCATGCAAAAATCAAAAGTTTCATGACAATCTCCACCTATTGTATTGTTACAGATGGATATTTATCCTTCCAATGTTGTAATATTTGTCTTTTAGCTGTGTGCAGAAAAATCATTCACATTGACCTTGCTTTAAATGGGCCTGAATTGTGTGACTCTCACCATTGCTAGCCCCTTAGGGGCTGGCATATTCCTGTCCTGTCCAGTCCTGCCCTGCCCTGCCCTGCCCTGCCCTGTAATATCTCACTGGCCCCCACCCAGCCTGTAATCACATAATTATGCTCAATGTCAAACAGTTTGCTCAAACATTAAGGAAACATGACTGAAGAATGACTGTTAGCCCTATACATATGAATAAGAGCCATAACGTTCTCATTGTGTTTTCCAAATCAAATCAAACATATCAATAATTGTTTGCTAAAATGAATAACAATTGTTATGAATTAAGATTGCTATCCCTTTAAACTGGTCAAAGTATCAGTTGCAGAAATCTCTTCCACCCAGGCTTTCACCAGCTGATATGCATCTGCTGCCATTAGTTGTGTTTCCAGCAAAAGCCACAACAGTTCCATATTCCTTTTTTATTTATTAAAAGCTTTTCTATTTTCTTTTCTTCCATCATGTCCCCTACAAACATCTCGGGACAGCTTACAATAAGTATGAAAAATACAATAATTTAGAAAGCACCTTTCTTTTATTTAACGGGATTCTGGAGCCCTTCTGCATTTCAATAAGTTACTTTAAAATTCAAGATATTAGGAATATATTATTTGCCTTTGTACACGTACAAACCTAGCCCTTTCTACAAAAATATTTATTTCAAAATAATTTGAGATATAGGCTACGGATACAGTGCATTTTATAATGTCATCATTGTTCCTTACACTCTTATAAGGAAAAGAAACCCATAAAAATTCAGAGTAAAAAGAAAAGTTATTAACTGAAACCTGTTTGAAAGGGGCAAAAAATCAATATCCAGAAAACAAAACAAAACAAAACAAAACAAAACAGTTTTCTGTTTCCAGTAAGATAATATTGCATTCTGTCACACTCTGTCAGTATTCATTCATCCATTAGATCACTATTAGTTAGACGAGTGAGAAGGGGGAAATCAATCAAAACATAGCAAAGGAAGAAGGAAAATGGTAAAATTCCCAGAATGTTATTTGTTCAACATATGTAAGACTGGCTATTTCCAATCAGTTTCTGAAAAGTGAAGAGTGAAACTAAACAGGAGCTGTAACAGTAGCTAGAAGATCTGAGGGAAGTTTCCGAGTAGGACAGGTAGCTTGAATCCCCATAAAGAAAGATTATGAAACCTCTGGGGACTGGAGCTTCTTGAGTTTATCCTGGACTTCCACTGCAAGTATGGAAGGAAAAATCATATGAAATTTCATATTAAGGGATCTGGCTATGCTTTGTGGTTCTTCTTCTCCAATTCTTCTTTGAGGAGATATTTCTTTGGTGAGATCTAGTTAAAGCATGATTTTATCTTCATTTGGACCCCTTCTCCTGGCCACATGAAGGAAGAATTCTTTGGTTGATAGGAAGAAAATTGACAATAATGGGTGTCACTAGCATGGGTGTCTCTTTGGGTTTCCCTGTAGGTTTCCCCAGGTAGGATATTCACACAATAAGCATATTAAGTATTTTATTTATTTATTTATTTATTTTTCGATTTATATCCTGCCTTTTTCCTAAGGGCTCAAAGCAGCTTACATCTCCTCCTCCATCTTATCCCCACAACAACAACCCTGTGAGGTACGTTGGGCTGAGAGTCTGTGACTGGCCCAAAGTCACCCAGTTGGCTCCATGGCTGAGTGGGGACTCGAACCCAGATCGTCTGAGTCCCAGTCCCATGCTCTTAGCCACTACACCACACTGGCTCTCAAGTATCAAGATGAAAATTTTCTTAAAGTTCCAAAAGTTGATGAAGGACCAAATCCACATGGTTTATCAGCTGTACTCCTTGGGGCTCCTCATATAAACAAAGCACTCTCAATTGGCTGTCTAAGAAGTTTCCAAAAGCAAAGCACAAACAGAGATTGTGCTGTGGGAGGCAGATGCTACATACTCATGAGCAATAGCTCTATCTGAGAAATGTATGTCTCTGGTCTCCATCATCTTGAGATGACCATCAATAAAATCACAGATCTTTGTAAGAGTTTAATTAAATCTTGGAGCTGTTCCATAAAATCCACTGTTCTTTGCAATAGTTTAATTAAATTTTGGAGCTGTTCCATCTTCTTGGATTGCTTAGATATCTTCAACAACATTTTCTTCTGCAAAGCAACAATCTCATCCCCTTCACCACACTCTACCCTGGTTTTAGAGACCTTGGCAGGAGGTAACTGAGGTTGGGTTTGTGGGAACCTGATGCCTTTCTTAGATTTACTAGCTGCCCTGGTTAAACACTCCTTAGTCTCTCAAACACATCTGAATATACAATACCCCACTGGCTTCAAGCAATAAAAAAACCCAATATATAGCACTACAGTCTAGAGAATAAAAAAAAAAAACAGACACAGATAGGTAGGAAAGAAAAATGCTCTTAGTAACTTTTTAAAACTGAAAATTAAGGTGTGTACAATTGTTGAATAGGCATTTCCCCTTTTTTCTGCTTTCACCCACTGAGAATTAGAAGATATCTGCACATTATGATGCATTTGGTAATCCAACTAATAGCAGTTGTTGTTACTATAAATTACAAATTTGGAAGATTTTGAAATGTCCGTTCCTTCTGCTAAAATGTGGTATTGCACAGGTTATACCAAGTTTCTTAACATTAACTGGCCTGAGCATCTACAGCAGATAAGAATTGCATCCAAACAACCAATAAGAATTCTGTAAAATGGAAGATAGTTATTCTATTCTGTTTTCTTCTTTACCACAGATGTGCCAGAAATGACTCATACACATGTATTCATCTAGACTACAACAGGCCTGTCAATATTCACGTTTTTGGTTTCCTATGGTGATTAAATGTTGACTCCAGCAGATCAGATATGAAATCTGTGCAACAGTTGATTTGTGTTTGTTTTACACACAACTCAGAAGAAGCTATGATCACATAGCACAGTACATAATGCTCCCTTTATTCCAATAGCTAATCCTTTCCTTGCTGTTTTGAGAATGCACTGCTTGATACTTATTTCACTGTTCCGTTAAGCTTTGTCACTAGAAAGAAATGCACCCTGCTAAGCCAGGGTACATCACAGCCTTTTCCAACCCAGTGCCCTCCAAATGCGTCAAATTGCAGCTCCCGTCACTGGCCATGCTTGCTTGGGGTGGTTGGAGTTGCAGTCTGACACATCTGGAGCGCACCAGATTGGAGAAGGCTAGCATGTTCATTGTGTGCAAGGAGAAGTGGTTCTTATGGAGCAGTCTCACTTCTGCTCTGTATTTCCTGCCAAACAAATGCTGAAACGGGTAACACTGAAGGGTTCTCACAGGGTTATGAAGGGGGTGCTTTTTGCTTGTTTTTACACAAGCAATACTCACATTGAAAGAAAACACAACCATTTCTTCTTCCAGCACTTATTTTTTTCCAGTTAGCAAATATGTACACACAGTTTAGTTGTATTTGAAAATAGTTCATTGTGTGTGTGGCTATAACAAGCAACCCCTCCCACCCTGCTCAAGGATTCTGTAAGCCAAGTGGGCCCCAAAACCATGCATTTAAGTTAATGTTAGAGAGTGAATTTCAAGAGCACTAGCTTGCAATGCACCAAAAAAGGTGGAGAGTGATTTGCATGACATTGGCATATTCTAATTTACATCCAGGTGAAACCTTGGGAAAGGTAATGCTAACTTCGATAGAAGCCCCATACTTCTCACCTTACTCTGTGCCTGCCCAGACTGCTGTCCAGATTGGAAGCTCAGGAGCTGCTTTCCACTGAGTCCATTCCTAGCTCCATCCAATCCAGTGTTGTGGACATCAACTGGCAGCAGTGGCTCTCCAGCGTTTCTCAGCCCTCCTACCTGGAGAAGCTGGGGACGGAGGCTGAGACCTGCTACTCACAAAGCAGGTGCTGTGCCACCAAGCTGTGGCTCCTCAGATGGTCAGCTTCAGGGCCTGGGCTCGCTGTTCTTTATGCTTTTTGATCTTTAAACCAGACTTGGACTGGGCAGTCCTTCAAATAAAAGAGGACCTCAGACAGAGGATTACCCTGCCAGGATGGCTAGCTTGTGTTACATGCTATGAAAGCATGTGTGAAAAGTATGTCTGCCTGGCCAAAAATAGAAAATTCAAAGGGGGAATTATTCTTGAAGTGTTTCACATGAAATGGGGTGCAATTATAGAAGCTGCTGTCACAGTGGGAAGTTTGGGCTCCTGAACATAGAATAAGCTACCTATTGCCTCCCCCTATCAGCTGCCCCATTAGTGTCAAAGAGCAAAAGGAACTTGAAGAATGAAGCAGCTAATTTGCTTGTGATGTTTGTATTACTATACTAGGATTGCCAAGAGGAAGGCAGCTAATTCCAAATATAGTTATGCTGCCTACTTGTTTGTAAACCTAAAATTTAAGGGAAAAGCTACCCACCTGCTCTCCAATCAGCTCCACTGCAGAAGTGCAGGACCACTTCTATGAGATGTAATTCAACCTACGTGCTGTTCTGAATGCTTCTGCTTCCTGAGGCTTGACATTATAAGGGTTTTCCCTTTGATCAAAAGAAACAAGCCCTTTGTAAATCTATGACTGTTTTGCAATTAGTCATAATGCAACTATGTGTCTAAATTGCTGAGTCCTAATCAGATTTCAGTAACCTACTTTTCATTTTCTTGAGGTATAGTTCAAAAGCTACTGTAATAGCCTCTGATATTAATCCTCTTATTATTTTTCTTCAAGTGTTCAAGCTTCATAATGTTATTTCTAATACAAGTGACCAGTTTAGCTTTAATTTCTCCCAAAACTGCCTGCTTTACTTACCAGTCCACTGGCTTGCCATCTTCATTTAAGCAGGAAATTTGAGTTCCCCACAGGGGCAGGATAGGACCTAATAATAGCAAAGATAGGCTCCATAAAGACCTGGCAGTCATCTTGGCTCCATCAACAAATCACAAAAGGTAAAGTTTAAAAATATTGATTTTCAACAAACCCTGTTAAAACAAAAGCAGTTTGGAAGAGGTGTAAAAAAGAAATCTTAAAAAGGAATGGTATAGATGGGTTGGCATGTTTATTGTGGTATGGAAAGGCTAAGGTATATGATTTTAACTGTGGAAGCTTTTCTACATTTAAATGTGTTGAATTATGAAGAGATTGTAAAATAAGATTTAAGCTGAACTAAGGAGAAGAATAGGAGTGGAGTCCCCCCCCCTTTTTTTTCTCTCTCCTTTGTAGGTGATATAAGGGAAAATGAGAGATTCTTTTCTTTTTCTTTCTTTTTTTCCTTTTTTGTCTTAAAAATGAATGACCAAAAGCTAAGTTGTATGACTCTTTTGTCTTTGAATTTCTATACTAGAAAATGACTATTATGGGAGTAGGAGGAGCTGTACTAAATAGATTTCTTTTTACAAGCGAGATATATTAAAGATTGTAAGGAGCTGGACTGTTATAAAGAGTTAATTGTATGTGATTAAGTGAAGTATAAGCTAGATGAAACTTTAATAAATTAGCTTAAAGAAAATTTGTTTAAAAGATATCATAGATAATTGTTGTCCTTAAATAGATTAGATAACATGTCCTTAAAGATGCTAAATGGGTGTTAGACATGTGAACATAAATTGGGTTAAAAGTCTTTAGTTCTTTTTTAAGCTTGGAACTTTTCTTCTCTTTCACTTTCCTTTTTAGTGGATATTAGACTGGAATACTAGTAAGCAAAAAATGTATTTGATCGTATTTGTAACTATTATGAGGAGTTTATCTGTTTAATATTGGAAAAATGAAAAGATCTGGAATTGTGTAGAGCTGGTTAGATTGAAGCTACTATCGAAGAAGAAAGAAGATATTGACTTTTATCAAATTTGGAGAGTCTTTCTTTTAATATTGGTTAAGGAAAACGGGACTCTGTAAGAAATGGATGGACTGCTCTTACCGCAGAAGGAGAAAGAAGATAGTGACTTCTATCAAATTCGAAACCTTTTTTTTTTTAATTGGCTGGAGAAACGGGACTTGGTTTAGATCTAAAAATGTTTTTTAAGATTCCATAAATGGATCTGAATATGATTACAGAATTTAAAAGATATGTAGTAAGGGACTGACTCAGTAGTTCCGATGTTTGTGATGATTGATGTTTTTAGTACTGTTTTAAAATTTAATTTAAAAGTACTGCAAAAACAAGCAAACAAACAAATCACAAAAGGAAAGCCTCAGTATGGTTAGCCTTATCTTAAGTTTGTCGGTCTCTTGTCATTCAAATCGGTTTCATTTTCCAGTCTGCTGTCAGCAGAATGCAATGAAACCACAGCTAACCATAGCTGGGAAAACCTAGCATGTCGTCCCAGCAGAAAAGTTGTATGGTTAGAGCAGAGAAAGACACACAACATTATAAACTATTCTCTCTCTCTCTCTCTCTCTCTCTCTCTCTCTCTCTCTCTCTCTCTTGGGTTGGTTCCATGAGAGAAGAAGGTTTCTACTTGTGGAAGGTTCCTTCACCCAAATTTGAAGGATCCCCATCTCACACCACAGCTCACACCTTTCATCAGGACTTGCTGACTGTGTAGCATTTTCAGGGGGATGAAGGGACTGACCTGGGAAGAAGACAGGATATAAATTAATTAAAGTATAAGGGAGGGGGATCTACTTCTACCTGCAAAGTTGATCCAGTGTGAATCTGAGTCTGACCCTACTTTTATATCCAGTTTTTGCTCAAAGGGCTCAACATAAGAGTATCACTGTTTTCCTTCCCAGCACAGTCATGCCATTCTAGCTGCAGAGTAACCATGTGTGGTAGGTTAGGGGGAGAGATGGTAGTGGCCCAACATCAGCCATTGAGCTTGGCGGTGAAGCACATGAAAAGGCACTAAGATGACACATTTGATTAGCCCAACTTTTGCTGACAAAAAGAAATGCAAACACTTGACATTCCTCGGTGTACATAAACTGACATGCCGAATAGGTGTATTTAACAATGTTAGTAGCAGTGGAGATCTGCATTGCTTAACAAACCACACATCAACGCATCACTGTGGACAAAGCATGACATTATTGGTTGTTAGGGGCATGTTCATCACTTGATTTCTCATAACTTTGTTACTGAATGTTGGTGAGTCATAGCCAAATATGTAAACATATTTTATGATCAGACATTATATGGTAGGGGGTATTAGGTGCTACTAGATCTGTGACGATGACTCCTTCACACATTCACCAGTCAAGTTATGAACTTGTATTTATGAACCAGCCACCCATCTTTCTCTCACCTGGTACTTTTGCAAATCAAACAGCTTTTGTACAGTTTTATATCTGAGCTTTCAAGCGGACCTTTAGTGGTATTATACGGGCTTCCTTAAAGGATGTGTTGCTGGACCAACAGAAAAGTGAACGTAGAAGGTAGGGTCATCATAAGAGAAGTCAAATGTAGTTCTCTTCCAGACAAATTTTACTTTACTTCACAAGTGCTTTTGCATCTTTGTTGTAGCACATTTGGCACTTGTGATTATAAGCTATGGCATGCATGTGTCACTGTCATGCATTTTAAATTGTTGGATGTTTATGCATTTAATAACTATTGTGGAGATGATGTGTTGGCAGGCATTGCACCTGCTATTCTGGTAAGATCCTATTCTGCACTTGATGGTTGCGTCCTAGTTCTGAAATTAACTCTTAGGAGCTTCCAGAAATAGCAGTGGTAGTTTTGTTGTAACAGTAGCAGTAATTGATGTAATAATCACTACTTAATGGAAAGACCCATCTTTTACTCACCCCTACTAGTATTTCAGGGTAGCTAAGGATCAGCAGTCCATATGTGCTCCTGTATTTAGTTCTCAGAACTAGCAAGAAATCATCCCATTCCTCATTTCTAGGGCTATGGCTGGGTCACCAATGTGTGGTGTGTGCATTTATCAATCCTTTCCAAATATAACAGGAAAAGTATGGTATGTTAAAGTCATCTGTCTCTGTGTGTGATGTTTTCTGCATTTTGTGATCCAAGCATCATATGTACTAAGCCTTCAATCAGCCTTGCTTCATAAAGGGGTACGGAGCAAGCCCCAGTCTGTCTGTCTGTCTGTCTCCCCCCCCCGACACACAATTTATGCATGTATGAGAAATGTGATAGATAAATATTTATAAATTATATTTTATACTGTCCAATAGCCAAATCTCTGTGATTTGTAAAGATTGTAATGTGAATGGGCTAATAGCTCTGAGAAGCAGAGATGGGTTAACTGCTTTATGCGGTAAAATGCTGGAGACCAGCCTTGTGAGAAGCTGGCTTGGCTCTTGTTATATATAAGGAAGACATATCATAAATTATGCGCCAAAGACACAGGAGAGAGCTGCAATGAGGAGCAAAGTGTCTACACCTGGAGTCGGTAAGTGACCATCCCCTCATGGGTCAGCTGACCTGGGTTGCAAGGGGTGGGGGATAAAGCCCTGGCATACAAAGGCTGGTGTTTCTCTTTGAGGAGAGGTTCTGCTTTTGCTGCCGTTGCTCCATGCCGAAGAATGCTGGACTACCATCTGCTGCCTGGGCCTGAAGCCTGGGTAGTGCTTGAGTGAGGCTAGGCTGAGTTTTGTTATTTTCTGTGTCCAAGTGGGCCAACAAGGCCTGAAAGTTGAGGATTCTTGGTTGGCTGTAAACTTGCTGTTGCTACTCTCCACTCCCCTCCTTTCCCCTCCCCCTCCCCCCTTTTACCCTTTTAAGCTGTATTTTAATACCTCCCACCCCTATATTTTATCCTTTTAATAAAGCTATTTTCTCCAAAGCTTGGGTTTGTTGGGTGCTGAATCTGGTCCAGGGAGATTCTGGGTGGGAGTTCAGCTCAGGTGACTGTGTGGGGGGGGGGGCGGGGGTGGATGAATCCTGGTTGGCTTTCCACTACATCTGTCCGGGTGGATCCATGCTAGCTATAAGGGCCATCAATGGCAGGAATTAGAGCTTTGGCCTTGAACCATATTTCCATGGTTGGAGCTGGGAAGCTGTCCTATCCTATGGCCATCGAGACAGTGCCTTAAACTAAGACAAAAGAACAATATGGTCAAATTTGGCCCACTTAGAATAATAACAAAGGGGGACTATAGCCTTGGAGATTTCTTTTGCCATCTTACAAACAAAGACATGATGCCAATATTTCTGCCATTTTTGTTATTCTTCAGGCTATTCAGTGGCAATTGTGTGTGGCGGGGGCAGTGTCCCCATTTGCTCCCAACTCTGTTTGGATTAAGTTAAATAATGAGGGGAATGCTATGGGGAATTCTTAGGTAGTCAGCCTGTGTCCAGGCTGTTCTGCTTCTGACTGCAGCTGAGTTCTCATGCTGGGATGCTCCTTCATACAAAACAACCACCCCACCCCAGAAACCCAGGTGGAGGTTTTCTGCATGCACAAATCTTATGTTGGGCCAACACATTCAGTCTTGTGAGGTCCCTCCTACTTATGGAGGTGGTGCAGCCCAATCATAGATTATCACGTCAGGAAGAACCAGGACGCTGTCAAAGGAGCAAGATGTGAAATTTCACACCACCTCCAAAAAATCAGCCGCGGAAATACCGCTTCCATGTACCCAGTCCCACAAATGGCTTGCCTGAAGGCAAGGTGTCACCTTCCCCCAGAGAGAAATAATCTCCAGGAAGCAGCTAAACTGGCAGGGGAGGTGGAGTGTAATTTTCACATTGAAACCTGAACTGCAAGAGACAACTTTAACCTTGAAACTTTTATGCACATAGTCAGCACTTTATGGGGATTTCAGCTGACATATGTAGGACTAATTGAAAGCCCTCATGTAACCACATTAGAAGTCAAAGAATGACACCAACAAATGTGGCTAATTATGTAAACAAACACATGCATAGTTAATGTGTGTTTGCCATTGTTCAGTAACCATTTGCCATGGGCATTCAGGCAGAAAATGTAAACTTATGCTAAAGCTTGGACTTAAGCTGACTCAAGCAGAAATGTTGCAGGATGATGTAGTAACGTTGCCCTTTTGTTGATGTTTCATTTATACAAAGGCTTTAGTTAAATATAAAGCAGGTAGTTATTTCTTAGTCAGTATTCTTAGTAATGGAATCCACAGTTGTGTAGGTCAGTTGTGCCAATATTAGGAGTAACCCAAATGTCACCAGATAGTGGACATTCTCACTTAAAAAGCCAAGAAGCAACTCTTCTTGGCTTTTTACAAAGCTGGCCCCAAGGAAGAATGGGCCTCCTCATTTTTGGGATGGTGGCTGATGCCCAAGGTCATTCCTCACCCACTGATGCTGCACTTTAAAAGCGGTTCCTTGGGTGGTGTGGGGGTGTCGGGGAACTGATGGTGCAAAAGCATGAGCAGGCAGCTGAGAGCGGCTTCTGTGCCATCTAATACATTAATGATGTTAATTGTGTTGCTGTTGTCAGGTCAGCATTTATCTGATGATTGCCTTCTTGAGTGTTGGAACTGAAAACTAATTAATACTTTTGAAGAAATAGTAATGAACTACAGAAACTCCTGATGGGGAAATGATTAATATCCCTGATAAGTGCTCCGTTTCCTGAGGGGGAAATTATTGCTGTCCCTGATAGGTGCTCCGTTTCCTCCAGAACTCGCAAACATAATGAAATCTTTCATCTGGATGCAACTTTGGTGAGGTATTTAGGCAAATTGCCTCGGCAGAGAAGAACCCTTCTGGCATGCTATTAAGAGTTTGAGCCAGGCGTGCATCACTCATGATTCCGGATGTGCGAGGGCAGAGCTGGGCCCTGCTTGCTGCATCCTTTCTCACTGGTCCTGTACGTAGAAGAGGCCCACTCCTCTCCTGGCAACTCAGGGAAACTGCCCTCACGAAGGTGCTCCTGCTGAGCTAGCCACTACCATCAGATGTGGTGACAGGCGGTGTCTCACTGCTAGTGTTGAAGTAACATGTAGCTTTCAGTCCTGCCAGCATCTGTACATGGAATGGGAGGGGCTGCATCTTGCTCTTTGCCTCAGGCAGGAAAATGTCTTGCACCAGCCCTCAGAGTCAGCTTCCAAATCCTTCCTATTTCTCCATAAGCATGGTGGAAGGTGTAGATATGGGGGGGGGGGCAGTGGGCAAAATGCACTCAAGGGGGTGGTATATATGATTCTGTGTTCCACATGTCTAGAGGCCTAGTATGTTCACAATTTGGACATCCGGGGAAACATAATGAGCTGATTCCAGTCATGCATGGGTACAGATTCAGAAATGTATACCTGCTGTTCTGTTCTTCAGTCTTATGACTCTAACCTATTCTGAGTAAAATTGTGTTTTTATCTAATTACAGTGCAAGGATGTAGAATATGTGAATTCTGAATATGGAAAGAATGCTGTGAGACTACTGTACATTAGAAGAGAAGGCAAGACGCACTCCATTAAAGAACTGGAAATCTCTGTCCATATAAGACTGAACAGTGTGAATGAATACTTGCATGCTGACAATTCCTGTGTCATCCCAACGGACACCATAAAGAATACAATTCAAGCTTTGGCCAAATGCCGAGGGGTAGGTTTTAAAATAATTATTTTATTATTTTATTGTTCAGCTAGATATTGTCTCAGTGTATTATATTTTCCTGTTTTCTGTCAATTACAAGATCAATCCCCCAAGCAAAAAGTAGTGGGGTACAGGGTAGGGAAAGCACTTTTGATTACAGATGGATAACAACACCTGTATCATACCAGCAGCAACTGGTAGGTTTGCTCTGATGTGAGCGTCAATATCAACCCTTTTCAAGAAGAACAGAATGGCTTTTCTTAAGACTTAGCAAACTGGGCTGGTCGACAAGAAAAAGTTCAAATCGACAGTCAGGGCAGTACTTTTATTTGAAATAACTAAATATGTAACAGTTGTGGGTGAACTCTCAAGATCTCCAGATCGCTTCAAAGGAGGAAAGCAAGGGTCAGACTGCAAACTTTGTTAATGATGTAACAAAGTTGTAGCTGACTGTGTGTGTGTGTGTGTGCGTGTAATTCTAGTGTAAGCATGTGCAGTGTTAAGTTGGATCAGGAACACAGTATACTAGGAAGAAGGTAGTAAACTCCCTCCAAACTCACACACCACATTTGCTTCCTGAACTCTTTCCTCACAGGGAGTTTTTTGGTTTTTTACATGCGGAGCTGTTGCGGGGGGGGGGGGGGGGGGGGGGCAGAGTCCATTACAGGGTTGGAGGATTTTTCAGGAAGCAAATAGTGGCAGGAAAATTCTTTCCTTCTGTGCTGTTCTCCCTGTGCAAATAGGCACTATCCACACTGAAAGTGGAGTAAAAAGAAAGGGACATTGCAATGATTGGCTCACTAATGAATGTGTACTTGGACTACTAAACTGGTGGTATATTACTGTTTTTCACCTGAAGAGCTTCCAGACAAAGACCACCCCGTGTGACTCATCAAATGGCATCATGCACGAATTCCATTTCTTTCCTTTAATGGATTTCTCATTGTAAGGGAAAAGATGGAAGAAAGAGTGTAAAAACTCTTACAAGAAGAGAACAACATTGTCTGGCTCCTTCTATTCAAATCCAGTAGACAAGGCAGGGTGATGGTGCTAGAAAAGCCTCTTTGGAAAACACCCTTGTAGAGGAGAAAGGGATAAGTCATACCCATTTTCAGCTCAAACTTGGAAAATTGAACTTGGCCCAGCTCCACTTTGTTTACCATGAAGCAAGCAAGCAAGAACAAATTCCTGGATCTTACCTGTCTGAAGTAAAGAAACTGCTCTTAAATTCTGGAATATTGTTATCTTTGAATACAATTGGGAAGATGATTTTGGACTGATAAGAGCTCAAGGATATATCTCCTAAAATTGAGACTTTAAAAATGGTATTTTGGTTTGTGACAAACTATACTTGATTTAGAGTTTTTAAATGGATTTTCATGAATATGCACATGAAAACGCATATTTCCATTACAACAATATAAACTCCCAGTGAGATGTTTGATTATCCAAAATGCTGTAAGCATACTGCACAGGAGAAAAAGTTAGCAGTCCATCTCTCTTCTTCATGAGGCAAGACCTATAGGAAAATTATTAAAATGAAAGGGGTAAATAAATTACAGCCAAGGGCCTGGATTTGAACAGCCACATGGGGCCTAGTTTTAGGAGCTCATTGGATCTTTAGATATTTAAAATAAATCCAGCACACCTGGGCCTTTATTCTTTTAACTGAGAATTTCAGTAGTTATTTATGACAAAAGATGATGGTCAAAGATAAAGCCAGAAATTCCACTGGCCTGCCTTGTACAAGAGTAAGGAGATTGTGTGTGTATGTGTGTGTGTATTACACTGCTTGTTATAATCCATAGATCTGATTATAATTAACTGGCTCAATAAGGATGCCATTTGTAGTGAGAAGTGTTTGACTGCCCTATCCAGTTTATCAAAACATTTGTAGTGAGCTGAATGTAAAATGAGATACAATGTCTTTCGCAACATTTATCTGAAGACTGAAGCTGATTGCATCTAATCTATTGTCTGTTTCACTAGATAAGAACAATAGAGGAATTTGGCCTTAATATCTGTGAACACTTCATTACATCATTTAACCATGTGGTATATTGCAATGCCTTTATCCAAGAAGTTCCATGGCAGCGCCTAGAAAAGGTACAGAAAACTGATATGCAAGGACTAGCCTGGCCTCGTAGTACCTCAGTGCAGCTCCTTGCACGCAGTGGGAAGCCAGTAAGTGAGTCAGTGGGAGGGGGTACAACAGAGACCAGTGTGGGATAGTGGTTAGGGCATTGGAATGGGACTGGGGAGAGCTGGGTTCTAGTCCCTACTTAGCCACTGGGTGACCTGGAGCAAGTCATGGACTCTCAGACAAACCTAATTCACAGCATTGTTGTGAGGATAAAATGGAGAGGAAGAGAAAGGCCATGTGAGCTGTCCTGCGTTCTGTGCAGGAGGAAATAAGGTGAGATATACATGTAATAGATAAAAGTAAAAAACGGGAGGAAGAGAGACAAGGAGTGTCTCAGTAGGCATATTACTCATATTACAGATCTTCATGATCGTCACATTACTTCCTGTGTTATTTTAATAAGTCCAAGGTAAGGCAGAACAGTTCTGTTTGCAAACTTATGTCTCATTCTTCATCTCCAGGATGGTATTCCCCATGTTCATGCTTTTCTCTATAGCTCTGAAGGAGTTCGATTTTGTGAAGTGGAACGGACTGCAGAGAGTAAGATCATATATTTTGTTTTTTCAGTAATATGTTTATTTTCAATTCCTGGTTGAAGAGATTAAACCATGGGCAATATCCAGTCTAACACAGGCGTGAATGTATAATACGTTGTGCTAATACAATGTCAATAGCATCAGTTGACACAACAGGCTTTCCAGGCGGTCCTGTTGCACCGCTAGTGCTGCTGGTATCGTGCTAGAGGTCTCTTGTTCTGGGTGGCATGACTGGGAAATCATAGAGTCATACAGTTGGAAAGGGCCTAGAAGGCCATTAGGTCCAACCCCGGCATACCCATTTATTTCTTCATTTTAAAAACTGTCAATTAAGTCAGGCTAACAAAGAGAGACTGGCACAAGGTCTCCCACTGAGTTGCATGGATGATGGCAGGAACCTGAACACAGATCTCTTCAGTCACTCCCCACCCCTGACACAACCCACCCTACTGGCATGCATGCCAGTATTTTTTCTCCCATTGAAGTCCTGCTATATTGCCTGACTGATTCTCTCTTCCACTGGGAATTAGGAATATGCATACTTCAGGCTGCAATAATAAACCTATTCATCCGGGTCTTCAAGCAGGACTTGCTTTTGAATAGACATATAGTGCTGCACTACCAGTTCCTTCTCTTGCAACTGTTAAGGGTAGATGCTACAATTTATCGGATTAGGTCCCGACAGGGGAGGCTCTGTCATTCCATGGTGGATCACATGCTCTGCAAGGTCTTAGGCTCAATGCCCAGCTCCTCCTGGTGGGGCTCGAAATGGACCCCGTGCAACCCTGGAGAGCCACTGGGAGCCACAACCAAGAATGCTGGACTGGGTGGATCCAGGATCTGGCTCAGGACGAGGCAGTCTCGTGGCTTCCTACACCTGGCTGATCCACATTCTCTGCATCTCCAGATGTTAACAAATGCAGTGTGGCTTCCACTAAAAATGAAGAAAAAAGAAAAAAGTTTGCATGGGGCCAGGTCTGTGTTAGAGCCTCAATGTTTCTAAGCCATAATAGAATAGGCTGCAGTATGGATTGTGTGGCAAGTCCTTACTCCAGTGGTAGAACTCCCTGGAAATTGGCAACTCTGGTGAGGGTACTGTGTTACACACCTAATCTGGTAATGTCATTACAGTGCTTTAAGAATTTAACGTTGCCATTGTTATGATTTTTATTTTAAAATAGTGTGAACCACTGTGATCCTCCAGGACAAACAGAGCAGGCCATAAATAAATATATATGAAGGATAAAATTCATGGGGGTGTAGAATGCAGCTGCAGCTGCAGGAATCCTTGTTGAGGGAAACAGTCACAGTTCTAGGGTGAAATTGACTCAAGTTTACCATTCAGATGAAGGCAAGGCACATGTCAGGGTGGAATGAATGCTTTTGACTTGTCTATGTCCTGCTCGTGGACTCCCCAAAGGCATCTTATTGGTCACAGTCAAAAGGATGCTGGACCACAAAGGCTGAGCCTGATCCAGCAGTGCTTCTGTATCCTTGTAATAAACTTGCCAATATCTGAGTGACTAAGTCAAAAGAAAGTTGCTTTCAAGACCTCAGCAATATAATCTTGCAAAATAACCTTGTTAAATCTGACAAGCAGTCTTCTGTATAAATTTACATTGCAACCAGGTTTATTCAAAATGAGTTCCTAATTATGATCTCTTTTTAAATGAAGTGGCTTATCTCACTTGGAATATATTACTGCACCTTCAGGAGAAAGCTTTATGGCTGTGGAATAGTCATCACACCTTTTACCTGTTTTAAATGATTTGTAAAAAGAGCCAGCCTTTTCTTTGTCTCACATATTATTGTCTTTGAATTGCAGGTGCTCCAATTGTTTTTTCTGGCATAAAGGATCTAAAACTGATGAAAACCACCCAGTCTGGATTTCAAGGCTTCTTCAAAGATAAATATACCACACTCCCAGAAAGGGGAGATCGGGTGCTCTCAGTAGAAACATTGGTCAAGTGGTGTTATAATGATTGTTCAAAAGACCTAGACTACGACTGCATATGGTAAACTGAAAACCTTCTACTTCTATGGGGTTTACATCTGAGAATGCATGGATTTGTTCACCATGGTGGAGATGTCTGATAAATAGCAGGACTGAAAGCATACTGATGCATACTGATGGATAGAATTAGAATTTGATCAGAGATGTCTTGGTTTTGCAAAATGGCCCATTATGAAGGTCACAATGACCTTACCTGCTGCCTTTAGGAGTGGTGCCTAGTTTTGCCTTTTTCGTCATTTATTTTGAATTTCAGCCTCACTACTGATGAAAGGATCTTTTCTAAGTGTGTATCCATTCAAAAGACTTACCTCATACACTGGGTCTTTTCTCCACAGTTAGAAAAATAGAAGTCCTAAGCATGAGGAAAGTACTTCTTCACTCTAACCCTCACCTTTCACCATGGACCTTAAATACAATCGGTGTATTTGTTTCATCTTTGTTGTCCATACTCTGCATACCTTCACATGTGGCACAATAAAAGTCTTGCTTATGCTTTTATTCTTCTCTAACTTTGGGCTCCCACCAATTTTCCACTGATCAATTTCATATCTTCTCAGCTTCAACAGTTGCTGCACCATCACACACTCCCTGACCATTTACTGAGCTTCAACTGGGACATGGTTCATGTGGAAAGTCTCTCATTCGCGTGTATATATACCACACCAGAACTGTCACGGTCCCTTGCTTTCTTGATGCACCTTGCCCAGTTAGTAAACCTATATGCAGCGTGGAATGCATTTGTATGCAAAAATCCACACTTTTCAGAATTTTGTAGCACAACTTTAATGTTGCAAGAAGTTCACACCAACAGATATGTGTACAGGAAAAGTGTGCATTTGCACATTTTTGTGCAGAGGCTTTTGGTCACATTGGCAAACTGGAATTGATAACTTTACCCATCTCTAGCATTAATGCTATTATGATCACTAGCACAAAACTGAGGAGAGAAACAAAGGAATGGAGCCAAATGAGCAAGCCCTGTGAGTGTCTGAAGTTGCACAATTCACAATTTCACATCTGAGTCAATTCATGGCAAAATGACATCTGTTGCATAGATTAATTCTAACTATTACACATTGCTTTGAAGGAGAACTGCCCATACATGTGTCCTTGATGCCTTTGCTGGACCGCCTGAAACAGGCCATTACTCACCGTCTTATCAGAAAACGGTCAACTGTATTCAGATAAGCCTATTCGAAGGAGTTCCACAGGTTGGTGTCTTGACGATTATGATAAGCATTGTGTGTAAACTGTATTCTTATACAATAAAGGCCAGCTTCACAGATGCAGGCAGAAAGGTTTCTTCATCTACCATCCTTACACAGATTATAACAAGATCATGAATCGAAAGCTTTTTGAGCACTTTACAGTACTTTATGTTTGTTCTTTTTGATTATTCATTTTCTGAATATATTTCTGAGTTGTCCTGCTAACTTACAATACACCATAAGCATAAGCATGCCACAGTTCCAAAACCAAACCTAAAACAAAACAGAGAGAATGATCAGAACTTGCTTTCTTTCTTTTCTTTTTTTTAGAATTGAGTAATATTTGCAGGCCTGTTGGCCGCTTTGGAAGGGATCAAGCCCACCAAATTCTACTCAGGCAGGTTCTGGTGTTGTCTCTCTCTCTCCCCCCTTCTCTCTCTTGCTCTCTGCTGTTAATTCAGCACCATTTCACCATCCATAGTATGAGTATGGTAATGCCGATCTAGTTCTCCTTTAGCAATTCCTCTTGTAAGCAGGCCCTCAGCTGCTGCAAGGCCATTTATGGTGAGAAAAAGAAAATGCCTGTACAAATGACCCTTGAGGCCTACTCCAAGATTCACTAGCACCAGTTCCTTCTCTATTTATTTATTTATTATTTATTAAAACATTTCTATGTCGCCCCATTCACTGAAGCCTCGGGGCGGCTCACAAAAGCCTCGGGGCGGCTCACATCATTAGTTAATGTTAGGCTTGATGTTACCTCTTGAATTAGGAAGTTATGAATAAAAACAGGACTTCAAGCTTTAAAACAACAGCAGAATAGGGAAGAGTCATCTGGGCACCTCTACTTCTGCCCTTCCCAAAAACTGTTTTGCTGTGGTTCTGCTTCCTCCTTGAGGCCCTATACGAGCCCCAAAACACACTGGCTTGCGTACACTCGAGGCAACATTGACGAATGAAAAGCCTTGAATATCTCTAGGGAACTGTGTGCCCACTGATGACATGTTGCCAAATCAATCCATAGTTCCCCAGGGATATCAACAGCTTTTTGATAGAGATATTCATATAGGGTTTATAGCAGTCCATGCTTTCATAAGTTCATAACTCAGGGATTACCTATATCACAACCCCCCTGCCCCCACATCCCCCCTCCCACCATCTCCCTTGTGCCAAAAAGTTACTCCTTGTAAGAGCAATAGAAATCTTGGGTTAAGTCGCTTGCTTGTTGCTCCCAAGGGAAGTCTGAGCTGAGTTGTTAACATTACTTGGGAACAGATTTGGGAACAAGTTGCTTGACTTGAGTCCCCAACACTGCTAAATCCTATGATGAGAGGCTGAGAGGCTGGGCATGGCCTTGAGAAGAGAAGACTATGAGGGGGTATGATAGCACCTCAGAGGCTGTCACAAAGAGGAAGGAAAAGACTTCTCACTCATCCCTGAGTGTAGGACACCGAACAACAAACTTAAACTGTAGTACATCAGATTCAAGAATAGGCACCAGGAAATACTTCCTAACTGTCAGAGAATTATGACAGTGGAATCAGTGGCCAAGAGAGGTTGTGGGCTCTGTCACACTAGAAACATTCAAGGCAGAACCAGACAATCATCTGAGTGGGATGGTGTGACTTGACATCCTGCAGCAGCAGGTGGTTGAACCCAATGTCCTACTTGGCCCCTTCCAACCCTCCTGTTCTATGCATCTATGAATTAAATGGTTCTTTGCTTTCATTTCCTCACAGAAGCAAGGTAAACAGAGCATAAGCTTGCCGTCACCAGGAAGCACCTTTCTCTGCCCTTGTAGCTGGTAGCCAGTGCTGCCAATGGTCAGAGGCTAGTCCTGCACTGTTTATCTAGTCACTATGAGGGAGAGAAGAAAGAAAGCTATGGCAGGACAGGAGCACCATGTTTTTTGTAATGTCCTTGACTGATATTACCAGGAAAGGAGGCAGGAGTGAAGGTGGTTGTGCTGCAAAAGATGATCGTGTTTTCTAACAACTTGTAATGGTGCATGTTTCTACATTTTCAGATTGAGGAGGTGGAAGTGATCTTGTCCAACATCCACTATACAGCAGTGGATCTAAGCAAACTGGGATTGTGCAATGACAATGAGGTAAGGGAATTAATTTCTCTACTACCCAGAGGGCTGGACAATTCGGGATCTATTGCTGTGAGGATGTAGAGGGAAGAGGAAGGAATATTTAACAAAACATCTCTGCACTTGAAACTGAAATTTAAGAAGTCATTCTGTCTTCATGGAAAGAGGAAGGATAAAGATCTGATTGGAAGTTTCTCAGTATTTTAACAAACTACAATTACCCTCCATTGTAGCCTCCCTTTTTGCAATACCTTTTAAGTGGGGCTGACCATCAAAACGGTTCAGAAATTGTAGTTTGTCCAACATAGGGTTGCTGGATTACTAATTGGAATTGGGCAGCTTGTATGGCTGCATTTTGTCAGCTGTATTGACTTAGGCAAATTTGGAATGCTGGTTTTAGCATTTAAAGCCCTTGGGCTGGCGGCCAAAGGGCGTCGGCCTAAGGGCAGTGACACCGTTTGGGGCCGTTTGGGGCTGGGCTGGCCCAGGGATTTTGCTGTTGGTCAGCGGGTGGGATTGGTTAAATTGGGCTGCAGGGATTGTGGAGGTATTTTTAAGTGTTTTAATGTGTTTTTAGTTTCTTTTAATGGTTTCATCTTCGGCGTTGACTATGGGGTTGCCTGGGGAGCGCGTGGGTGCCACCACTGGGGTGGTTAGGGCCAATGGACGTTATGGCGGTGGGGGTTTAACGAGTCCGTGTAGAAGAAGGAGGGACAGATGGTTAACACCTGTTCCTCTTTCTGGTTATTCCCCCAGCCGGTGGGTGCCAGGTAGGCTTGTCAACCGCCCCACGGGCCTGTCGGTGCTGTTGCTTAATGCCAAGTTGGTTCATAATAAGTCATCCCTCATCCACGACTTGATCGTGGATGAGGGGGCCAACCTGGCTTGCATTGCAGAGACCTGGGCGGGAGGGGTGGGATGTCTCCCTCTCTCAACTATGCCCGCTCGGGTACCTGGTCCAGCACTGACCAGGCCTGGAGGGGAGGGGGTCGCTTTGGTTTACCAAGCCTCTATTTCCCTCACGGGGCTTCCTGTTCTCTCGAGGCCGGGTCTAGGGTGCCTCTACTTGGTGTTGGGTGACCGAGACAGATTGGGGATTCTGTTGGTATACCGTGCACCCTTCTGCCCAACAGACTTCCTGCCTGAGCTGACGGAGATCATCTTGGATTTGGTGTTGAAGACTCCCAGGATGCTGGTCCTGGGGGACTTCAATCTCCACGCCGAGACTGGTCTGACTGGGGCAGCTCAGGACTTCATGGCCTCCATGATGGCCATGGGGCTGTCTCAACATGTCACTGGCCCGACCCATGAACGTGGACACACTCTGGACCTGGTTTTCTCAATGGGACAGGAAGAGGGGGATCTGAGGGTGAGGAACTTGTGTCTGACACCTCTGTCATGGTCAGATCACTTCCTTGTGAGGTTTGAGCTCGAGAGCAACCTTTCCCTCTGTAAGGGTGAGGACCCGATTGTGTTGGTCCGCCCCCGGAGCGGGATGGATCCAGATGTATTCCTGAAGGCCCTGGGGGAATTCCCGGTTGATAAGGCTGGTGCTCCTGTTGATGCCTTGGTCGAACTGTGGAATGGGGACATGACCAGGGATATTGACACGATCGCTCCTAAGCGTCCTCTCCTGCCTGGCAGAGCCCGTTCATCCCCTTGGTATACACCTGAATTACGGGCGATGAAGCGGGTTGGGAGACGTCTAGAGTGTAGGTGGAGGAAATCATGGGATGAATCTGACCAAACACACTTAAGAGCCCATTATCGGGCCTATGCTGTGACAGTGAGGGCAGCGAAAAAGAAATTCTTCTCTGCTTCCATTGCCTCCTCACAATGCCGTCCGGTGGAGCTCTTTCGGGTGGTACAGGGGCTGGTTCACCCAGGCCCCAAGAAAGATCTAGTGTCACCCTCGACGGCCTGCTGTGATGACTTTGCCAAGCATTTCAAGGAGAAAATTGCTCAGATTCGTCACGAGCTGGACTCCACTAGTGACTCAGAACCTTCTGGGGAGGTGCCAATGTTGCCGTCTGGTCCAAAATTGATGGATGAGTTTCAGTTGTTACGGCCTGATGATGTGGACAAGGTGCTTGGACATGTACGTCCTATCACCTGCCTACTGGACCCTTGCCCATCTTGGCTACTTAACAAAGCCAAGCATGGGATAGGGGCCTGGATCCTGGAGGTTGTCAACGCCTCTCTAAGGGAAGGCCAGGTACCTGCCCCTTTAAAGGAGGCAGTAGTCTGGCCAGTCCTAAAGAAGGCATCCCTGGATCCAGAGGTGGCCGCCAATTATAGACCGGTGGCCAACATCCCATTCCTGGGCAAGGTGTTAGAGCGGGTGGTGGTGGGACAACTCCAAGCACTCTTGGATGAGACTGATTATCTGGACCCATTTCAGTCTGGCTTCAGACACGGGTATGGTACTGAATGTGCCTTGGTCGCCCTGTACAATGACCTGTGCAGGGAGAGAGACAGGAGGAGTGCGTCCCTGTTGGTTCTCCTGGACCTCTCAGCAGCTTTCGATACCATCAACCATGGTATTCTTCTTGATAGGCTAGCGGGATTGGGAGTTGGAGGCACTGCTTTGAGTGGTTCCGCTCCTATCTCAATGGCCGATTCCAGAAGGTGGTGCTGGGGGACTATGGCTCTGCGCCATGGCAGTTATGCCATGGAGTTCCGCAGGGGTCCATTTTGTCCCCCTTGCTATTTAACATCTACATGAAACTGCTGGGAGAGGTCATTAGGAGGTGTGGGCTGCGAAATCATCAGTACACTGATGATACCCAGCTCTACCTCTCGTTTTCAACCAATCCAGGTGAGGCAGTGGCTGTACTGAACTGGTGCCTGGCCGAGGTAATGGGCTGGATGAGGGCCAATAAACTGAAGCTCAATCCAGACAAGATGGAGGTCCTGTTGGTAGGTGGTTCGGGCTTCGGAGTGAGGGACTTGGGCCTTGTCCTGAATGGGGTTGCACTCCCTCTTAGGGAAAGGTTCACAGCTTGGGAGTGCTCCTTGACCCAGAGCTGTCATTAGACGCTCAGGTGACGATGGTGGTGAGGAGCGCTTTCCATCAACTTCGGCTGATCCATCAGCTGAGTCCCTATCTGGAGAACGATTCCCTAGCAACAGTGACACATGCATTGGTAACTTCCCGATTAGACTTCTGTAACGTGCTCTACGTGGGGCTGACCTTGAAGATGGTCTGGATAGTTCAATTGGTGCAAAATAGAGCTGCCAGACTGCTGACGGGAACTGGGCGTTGTTCTCATATAACCCCAGTCCTCCGTCAGCTTCACTGGCTCCCCATTGAAGTCTGGGCCCAATTCAAGGTGTTGATTATCACCTATAGAGCCGTCAACGGCTTGGGACCTGGTTATCTAAAGGAGCGCTTGCGTCCATATTTGCCCTTCCGCCCCTTGAGATCGGCGGCAGAGGCCCTTCTCCGGGAACCCTCCGTGAAAGATATTAGGAGGGCGAGTACCCGAAGGAGGGCCTTCTCTGTGGTGGCGCCCCACCTATGGAATGCGCTCCCCAGAGAGGTCTGCCGTTATTTGTTTTTCGGCGCCAGGCCAAGACCTTTTTATTTAAAAGTTATTTTAATTGTTAATTATTGATTGTATTTATTGGGGTTTTATGCTTGCGCCGAGATGTTTCCGGATTTTTATTGGCTAATTTGTGATTGTTTATTTATTTTGTAAGCCGCCCCGAGCCTTTTTGCGAATGGGGCGGCATAGAAATGGTCTAAATAAATAAATAACTTGGCACCTGAAAGATCGCTGTCTCCCATATGTACCTATTAAAACGTTAGGTAACTCTTAGGGAAAGGGTCTTTCAGGTTATAGAAAAGTCTCCCCCAAGAGTGTTGCCCAGGACCATCCCTCTAGTGCCCTCTCTCTTTATTTATATGGTGCCTATGACTGCTGAAAGGCCTTCCTAGGCAGCTTAGACTCACATACTATACATATTAAAACAACCTATTAAACACACACACACGCACACACTGTATATATAATGTTAAAAACCTATTGAAACAAAAGATTAAAATATCACTATAAGAATAATATAAAAAGGCCTACATTATTCCTGTAGACTACGCCTTTCAGTTTGAAAATATGCATTTTTAACTTTGGGATTGCTGTTAATTCTGTTCCTTTTTCCTTTTACATTGCTTTTGATTTCACGGCAATATGTCCTATTTTTCTATCTAAATTGTTTTAAAACTTACTCACTGTAAGCCATCCAGGGAACTTTATGTTAACAGGTAGCATAACATAATGACTATTTAGTCATACATGACAGCATAAGCTTGCAGAAGTCTTTGGAGAAAGCCATGTAAGTTTATACTGAACATAGGCCTCTTTTGTAAAAAAAAAAAAAAAAGAGAGAGAGAGAGAGAGAGAAGAAAAAGAAAAAAAACTTCAAGGCTAGAGAGTGACTGTTTTTAAGAGTAGACAAACTTACATTGCCAGCACAGCATGGTGTACACACACGTTTCTTTGTTCTGCTGTCCCACCGCATTCTCTCAAGCCACTTCCACTTTCCTGAGGAGAAAAAAGGCCCTCCTGAAGTGTGCAGGTGCATGAGACAGCAGGGGGGCGACTGGGCCAACCACACTGTCTCTGCCCACCCTTGTCACCATTTTTGTCCCAAGGCTGACTGACCCCTTTATCCTCCTATGGTCGGAGGCTGGACATCTGCAGTGAGCGACCTGCTCTCCATGTGGCGGTTCCCTGCCTGGTTTAAGCCTCTGGAAGGTCAGAGCTGCAGGCCATGCAGGGAACCGCTGCCAGCAGCGCAAACGCCTTGCTGCAGACGCTCTTGCACGCACTGCCAAAAGGGCAATGAAAGCAGAGAGGACAGAACTAGCACAGGGCGTTGACTCGGAGGCTGCATACAAATTCGGGAAATGTGTCAAGTCCAAAGTATTTTCCCATTGTGAAAGAGATGAAGTGAAATGACACTGATCTAGGATTTTGAGGAACTCTATACGATAGGCTTAAGAATCCTTAGTCCTGTCAAGAAAACCCATGCAGAGGCATGATAAAGCTGCACGTGTGAAGAGTCTGCAGGTGAAGAGTCTAGCCTTTGATTGAGACAGCAAATTGATTGAAACGGAGTCTCTATGATCTTGTGTATCAAGTTGCTTATGCTCCCATATTTAGTGTTCATGATAGTACAGAGCAGCTTTCCCTAACCTGGCATTGTCCTGATGTTTTGGGACTGTATTTCCCAACTGCCACAGTCAGCATGGTCAGTCATGATGGGGGTTGTCCAAACTTAACTGGAGAGCACTGGGCTGGGGAAAGCTGACACAGAGTAATGGTTTTTGAGCAACAACCAAATTAACTAAGGCCCTGCCTCTGCGGGAAACCTGTTTATATGAGGCACCTATAACACTGAAGCTGCTGTGACTCGGACAGAATCCTGGAAATTACCATTTGATGGAGAACTAGCAATTGGTTGCTAGAGATGTTTTGCCATTCCCATGGCAAAAAATCCCCAAAGCTAATCCAGAGGAGAAGTTAATTGTAAAACAAACAAACAAACAAACAAACAAACAAACAAACAGTTTAAATCAGTGCTGTGGCTATGCTTGCAGAAACGTAAGTAGACTTTCTTTTACATTAATAGTTGATCCTCAGGCTGGAGATAAACCTTTTACACACATGTCTTTCATGTACAGATCCTGACACCTCAGGATACACCCTTTGGTGCGTGTGCATCTACGCTGCGTAGGAAGAAGTGTGAAGGAGCACAGTCTCAAGCTCCTGGTGCCAAGCTAGAATGCAAACCTTCATACCGTGTTGGATGGAAGTCTGGCCGTTGGGTGAAGTAAACAGCAAGCATCCTCACCACAGTGTACTGTTTAGCAAGACTGATCTCCTATCAGCCTGAATTATTTACTCTTTGCTTCCCATTACTGTATTGCCACATGTAGTTGCAAATGATATTTTCAAAGGTTTCCTAAAGGCACTCATATGCTGATACCACAATTATTTCCTTTTGTTCCTTTCAAAAATGCAAAACAGAAATGTGCAAACTGGGTTAATGGGCAAATTGTAGCCTATTAACGACATAGTTTGGATCCAGATTTGACCACGCTTAGAGCAGACCCTTCTGACTAGCTTAAAGTACCATTGGGTTTGATTCAAAATCATCCTTCTGCAGACAGAAAGGCTCCTTCTGTTCCCAGGCTACTTCCCCTACAGTGGGAATCCTGCTTGCAGAAAGCAGGAGAAATGATCCCCCTCTTTCTACTGCCACCATGTCCCTCCAATTTGTTTCAGAGCATGCAGACCCCAGAGGAATGGGTCATCAGCAAAGATCACCTGCCTGTCTCTGCTGCAGGGAACTTTCTAAGTGGAATTCTGCTCAGGGAATGCTCCAGCTACATGAAAAAGCTAGATCCACCCAAATTATTTCAATGGGTCTTCTTTAAGTATGATTACATCTGGATTCAACCCAATGCTTTTGAATGTTTCCTATTGGAATTGGTCAGCCAGGACATGGATTTCTTCATTTTTTCACATTTGTGAAACCTCTCCAAAGATTCTCTGACACAATCACTATTTAAAGATGCTCTTTTCATTGAGAAGATTAATACAAAACCGCCTGACAGATTCCTTGATTTCCAGTGTGGCAATATGATATTGAGCTGCGCTAGCTGAGGATCTGGACTTCTTTTTGCAACTGAACAAATGCCACTTGAACAAATGTGTTAATTTTACGTAGTCCATATAGATTTTAATTAGATTGGGTCAGCTGTGAATGGGTAGATGAAAATGTAGCTTTACATTCTTCATATATTATAGCTTAGTTATCTATGGTGTCAGTTTTGACTAAAGGATATTTATTGGTGAGAGTACCTTACCTCTGAACTTTACTCCTTTCATTGGGCCTCTGTGCAGGAAAAGAACAGTATTTATATAATCAGTCATGAGACATGCCAAATTTACCTTTGTAGAGTTATGTAACTTTTCTTTAACCTCAAGATCTTAAGAGTTTCTGTGACTAATAGTGTTCTAATTTCTAAGCAAGTAGATCAAAGGCAATGCTGACACATGCTTTTTAGTGATTAAGAATTTAAATTTTATGCATGTTTAGACAGAAAAAATCCTACAATTCCTATCATTCCCCAGCCCGTTTCTCAGTCTAAACATGCATAGAATTGCTCCCTAAATCACTAAAGCATGTATCAGTTTTGCCAGTTAAACCATGATGGAACTGAGAACTTAAGAACCGCCTTCCTAGAGTGGATGCAAATTTCATCTGAGTCAGCATTCTGTTCCTCAAACAACTCAGCTGTATAGTTTGGGAAATGCACAAGTGTGTCATGGATGTAATCTACCATCCCTTGTTTGTTCCATCATTTATCATTCAGAGCTACATTGCTGCTGTAAATGAAGACTGTAGTTAATTGTCATGGGCTAAAAGCGGCTGCCAAGAAGAGAAAGCATATACATTTTCTATTTACTGTTTATTTATGTAAAGTGTTCAGCAGGAACCTATATGACCAAGTGGTTCTCCTTTGGAAAAAACCTGTTGTGGGGTCTTAAACATTTTATCAAAGAAATGCATGCATAGGATTTGGTTGCAGCCAGAAGTTCAATCCCACTTCCCAACCAAATGTCACAGATTTACTCCCGAATGGCCAATATTCTCAAGCACTCATATATACCATCTGAAAACAAATTTCTTGAGGAAGTCAATTTAAAAATATTGTTCAGTGTTCACAATGCAAGGCTGAAGGATGTTACAGGAGAATCACAAAGCCACAGCTGGCCCTTTCATAGTCTTCCCTATTTTATTTCATGTGCTTTCCCAGGACCATTTACACCAGCATTACAAGCTTTTTAGTCTACTTGCAAAAGGTGCTTTTAGAAGCATTTCTGTATAAATCTCACTCTCAGCTACAGAACAAGTTGGAAAGGGGATTTCCCCTAAATAGTAATAGCTTTCCTCATCATCTGTGGAATGAAACAACTCACCTAGCTTGTTTTACTTGTCAATAAGTAAAAGGTTTAATTCCCTTTTAGCCCCAGGCTTTCTCTTGTCTTTGATGAGCTTTTCTTTGGGTCCCACTTCTCTAAAATGTATGCAATCACACTGTGCAGTGAGGGGCAAGGAACTTCCAGTTCTCCTTTTTGTGCCAGGTCTTTTCTTGGTTTCCAGACAAGTGCAAAGGTGCAAAATAATAAAATAAGTAAATTAAGATATAGCAAAACCTCTGACACTGATGATGTTAACTTCTTCCTTTGGAGTAGAGGTGGGGAAGAATCAAATAAGCATTTTTCTAGAAAAAAAAATTCTTCCCAGGAACTTCTCACAGGTTAGATTTAAATGGTGCCTTTTGTGAACTGGTGTCTCTGATTTTGGCATAAAATGAGCCTTTTTGCTTTGCAATATAAGCATGTTTATGTGCTAAAATGTTTGAAAGCTGCTTGGTTTACCATAAGATTTTCAGTGGGACTCCAGGTCCGTCCTACCTTGAAAAGACCATACGAAAAGCTGGGGTTGTCCATAGCATGAAGCATTATTGACTTCTATGTGGGTGAGAAGTTGACAGTAATTGGCATGTTTAATTCTTTATCCTATCTCATCTTCCAATCAGAAACTTCTTTTGCTACACTAAGAGGATTCTTGTTTCTTAATTCTTCTTTCTTTTGTATGATTTCATGGGATTGTGAGGTTTCTGTATATTTATGGGTGAATAAAAGCAAATGCAAAAATAGTTTGAACTTGTTTATTGAATAAAATATTGTAGGTGTCAAAATCTAACAATACTATATATGACTATATAGACCAGTGTATTTCATTACTCATGTTATGGAGGGAAAAAACAAAACAAAACAAAAAACCAACCAAGCTTTGAGCTGATATGCTAAGCAGGCAGCAAACATGCAAAGAAGAGATCTGATTCTTCCCAGCTGTGAATGTTGACCATTCTAGGCCTAGCACTAGAAATTTGCGGGTCCTTAGCTAACAATCTTCAATAAGCCCCATTAGATAGTGAGGGCCAAATGTGGCCAGATCATTGGGATATTTTGCATATCACTTCGATGTTCTTTTCTCTCTGTTTTCTCACCACCATATGCACCTAATTCTTTCTTCCCCTCTGTACAGAAGTTTTAATTCTCTGTCCTGACCCATCCCAGGAGCCCATAAACCCCATTAAGTACACCCCATTCTCTCCTCCTACTTCTTTCCCATGCACAGGGAAGGCCTTGGGACACATTCACAACCTTCTTAACGGCTGATACTTGCTCTGAGTTTCCTGGGTACTCCATGAGTTGTGAGTGTGCTGGAAGGATCTCTAGAAGATCCATGCATTTGTCCACAGACCATGAGATGTTTCAGTAAACTGGAAGAATGGCTACGTGTTAAAAAAAGACTTAACATAGGCCATGCTGTTGCTGAGCTTTCCTGAGCAATTATATATGTTTCTGTCCAACCATGACAAGTATACACAGTGGAGTTCATGGCTGGATCTTGTGGCCTACAGAGGTTAGCAGTAGAGCTTGGCCCTATCTGCAAATCACTAGAGATGATTAATATACATACCTAAAGAGAACTGGAGGCAGTGGTGACAGTCCTGATGCTGCTCTCATGGTCACAAACCCAAATAACTTCAGTGGGGATAACATTGGCATTATGTTTAGATGTACAGCCATTGGCATTACGTCCCACACTCCCTGAGAAATCCTCTACCAGCACATCGGAAGCATGCAGTTCTCACTACAGTGTTCCATGAAGCATCTGGGATTAATCAGCATCTTTAGACCAGCCCCATCTACTTTTGGGTTTTACTCTAAGGACTGTCACACATCCTCTCAGAGAGAGTGAACACAGAACCCTACCCCTGCAATATAAAGGTGGAACCACTGGCATAGGCTAGTCCTGTGATCCAAAATAGGTGCTTTAACCTGTTACTTCAACCATGCTGTCCTGGAGCCGTAATATTTACAGACATCAAATGGAGATTATGGTAGTTAAATGGTGCAGACTTCTCATCCAGTTTGAAGAGATAGAATTTCTTCCTTGAACCCTACCTGGACACACACCTTAACCCCAGTCTCTCCACAACACAAGTCCTCCCTTCACATATGCATACCTGCTGCCAATACAGTTTCCAAAAGACAAAAACCACTTCAGATTGTGTTTTGTCTAGCTTGTAACCCTTACAACAATGTATAATGTAGGTGCAGAGGGGGAAACTTTGGCCAGGAAAGAGTAGCTTGCCCCAGGACGATGGCAGAGTGAGATTCAAATCAGGGATTACTTGATTCATATTCCAGTCCTTCAGCTGCTATGACACATTTGCTCTCATCATTATGAAATGCATCTTAGTCATACATTTAAGTCAGGTCCAAATATGCCATCTGACTCTTGTGTGACTAGGAAACAGAATGCAAGATGTGGCTGTAAGAGCAAGCTTGCTTCTCTGTGGCAGCCTCGAGTTCTCTAACACCAAGTGAAGCAGCTGCAATCTGGGCCACAGTTGAAGGAGCTGACACTCTGTGTCTCATGCCAATCATTGGAATTACGCAGGAAGGTTTACTCCCAACTGCCTCCACACGCCTTTGGAGTAATCTACCTTCGGAGCTTATCTGATGGAGCAGGGAACAACAAGGGGAAAATGAAATTTGTTGAACCTTGGCCCTCCCCTCCTCCAGGAGCAAAGGGTGGGATATTTTATCTTCACAACCACCCTAGGATGGTAGAGGGAGCGGGGAGGAGGGCAAGAGGAAGATCTTGCTGAAGAACACAAATAAAAACCTTAGAGAAAAGAACATAGGTGGGAAGAGGGATTCCTGCAAGATCAACCTGATGAGGTCTGACCAATCTCAGGGAGAAGAATGCTGACAAGAGGAGAACGCTCAGAAAATTGGGTCTTCTCCCCTCCAAGAAGGTAATGGAGTTTCCTGGGACTGCCTACCTGGAACCTTGAACAGAAGCATTCCATGCTTCCAACATTTTGTTTCAGGTCACACTTTTATACACTAACCCTGAACACTGCATACACAATCCTGTTGCTGTCTAGCGAAGGAAAAACTGCTCTCTCACGCACCAAATTCTCTCTTCCCACTGCTGACAATGGAACAGTCGAAGTTGTGCTCTGGCCCCCACTCTGATTGTCCCAGGTGTTACACACACTTAAGTCCAAAGAGTTTCAATGAAATTTAGGTATCTGTAATGCCTAATGCGTCTTAACATCTTGCTTTCAAGCATCCATCTCTGTGAGATAAGATGGGCTTGCAGCATTCCTCTGCAACATGGGCTTTTAAAATGTCTCGTTGTAGAAACTCCCATATTGTGAAGTACTTTCAGCTCTAATGTGGAGGTCATGGCTGAGATGGCTTCTTATACTCAAATTTCATTTAGACAGACTATAATGTCTTTTAGTTCAGAAAATTCTTTGCATACCTGACATAGAAAGACAAATAGCACCTCAAACCTGTTCCTTTTAAGACATAGCAAATAGCTAAGGAAATTGGAGTAGCCCTTCACCTGTCCAGAATGGCTGCTTTGCAGTCCTGTACAGGTAGTTAATTACTTATCAGGATAGCTACTCTGAAGGTTTTTTCCCCCATTTTGAAGGGAAGGTTGTACATTCTAATAATATGTAGTAAATGTCTATGATTTAATCATTTAGTAACACTGTATTATGCCTCCTTTGCTTGTGAAAAAATAACAGCTGCCAAGAAACTTCATACCTGAACTGAACCATTAGACATGTAGGTTTCCATAATTTAGCAGAGTACACAAATGTCACATAGCAAACATTAGAACTGAAAGCATTATAAACCACCAACTCAATCACACAGATGATGTGGACACTTCTAAATAAATAAGGATTGGCACAAGTATGGATATGCTGCAATGTTACAAACCTCTTCACCTACCTTGGCAACCGAATTTGAATGATGCAATTTTATGCGCTGTTGGCAAGTGCATACTTTGCATGTACCTGATCCCAGGTTCAAGCCTTGATATATGCAGGTCTGTCAAGTTAAAGGGCTACTTGAGGCATCAGAGAATTGCTGACAGAGTAGACTGAATCAGAAGAATCAGTAGACAGGTATGCATACAGCAAGACAGCCATCCATTGACCTTTTCAATGCATTCATGGCTCCTGGTAATTTGAATGCTGAAAATTGTTAGGTAGTTTAGGCTTCAGGTAATACTCCCAAGGTCCTCAAATAAACCAATAGGTGAAATGCCAGCTTTTCTGGCAGGACTTCTGTGCCTTTAATCTCTATATTTTTTCAAAATTTCCTCAAATTATATAGCTCTCTATATAGCTATTCTTCTTTTGATGAATATATATAATAAAAATTAATTAAAACATAAGATTCACCCAAAATTGAAAGTACAGTAAGCAGGAAAAATTCCATCTGCTTACTTTCTGTTTGCACTAAAGTTCTGTTTGCCCAACAGTTCTTGAAGGAATAGAAGTCCTTCCAGTTGTATTAAGGTGTTTCTTTTATCTAGGAATAAAAGACACACAAACTTTCAAAGATGAAAAGGCAAAACTTTCAAAAGAAAAGACTGCCCAAAACCAGACTGAATCAGAAAACAAGCAATAACTTTGTTGGCATAAGAGGCAATTAACACAAGGAACAGGTTAAAACAGAATTAACTAGAAGATCTTTCATCAACTGAGAGAGGCATTCCTAAAACAAGCCTTCTTTATCTCTTCAGAAACAGATATTCGGCTCATGAATCAAGTCACACAGCAAAATAATTTCTTACAGCACCACAAAACACAAAGTTTAAAAATATGCAGAGATATACACTTTTTAACACATATTCAGCAAAAATAGTTAGCAAATAAATTATAAATTAGAACAAGAACAAAACAAACATTTCACAAAATAACACAAGCTTTTACAAATCTACATTTCACAAAACATCCTTTAAAATTCAAAGAACATTAGCACAGTCTAGAAACAACAGTGGAAACTTCACGCTCTGTGTGTAGTTTCTTCTGTTCTCAAAAGGTGCTAAGCTATTGGAATGCACCACTTTAGACATTGCAATATGCTAAGAACAAACCTTAATAAGGTCAAAAATAGCCCCCTCTGCAAAAAAGGGCAATTTTGGCTAATGCAACACTTCTTGCTAATGTTATGAAATAGTTGTGACTTCAGTGGAAGCTCTAAAAAGCAGGAACAAATTTTGCTGAGCAATCAGCACAACCTCCTGCCCCAACCTTTCCAAATTACAACACAACCTACTGTGAAATTCCCACTGATGGGCACCACCAAAAGGATGGGAAGTGTTCGAGAGCATCACTGAGTTTCAGTGAATCTTGTGCAAAAGACCTTCAAAGTTAATAGCATCCATACATTTCAAACAGTAATTTTAAAACATCAACACTTCTAATGTTCCCTTTAAGAAATCCCATCTTTCTTTTAACATATGTTTGCTCTCAGTATAGGATAGTATCCAATGTTAGTCCTATATAGGCTAGAACCACTGATATGAATGGGACTTAAGTTAGTCATGTCTAACTTAACTTCCAATCCTTTCAATGGATCTATTTTACATAGGATTACTATCAGACACTACCCATAGTCACTGAAAAGAGAGTATTCAGCTGCTTATGTACCTGAACAACAAGAAATTCCACTATCAGTTCAATAACCAACAAACAGCATATTGCTAAAGCTATCCAATAGGATATATGTATAAATATATAGATTTATATATTTATATCAGTGCCATTTGGTTTATATTTTATATGCACACATATGTACAGTCTTTTTACAAAGTTCCCTCAATTCGAAACCAAAGCTGCTTATTTATTTTAATAAGACACACACAACAAAGTCCCCATTTGAAATCCACTATAGTGAACTATTCTTGAGATGCTGTGTCTGTAGAGGCTTTATGTGATATTCATAGATCTTCAGTGCAGGTCCCAGTTTTAATGAAAGTCCAGTCAGCACATCATTTCTGGTCATCAACAGTAAAGATTTCCCATCAATTTCCTAAGGTAGAAATGAATAAACTGTAAAATGTTCTAGCAATGAAAGGAAGTTACATAAACCTGATGAAAATTTGGAGTCCTAGAACAAAGACACTTTGGAGGCTTATCAACCTGCACCCAGGTGGCTTTAGTCCAAGCCCCTATTGTGGCCAAAGGTTCTTAGAAAAGAGCATCACAAATAATGTATTCTCTTCCTCTTAACCAGCTGAGACTCAAACCCAGTCAGAGCTTCCAAGGTAAATTATGGGAGATATGAAGGATGAATCTTATGATAGTCCCCCTTCCTGACATGTCTGGGTCCCTACTGTTCATAGAGGCTTTATTCATACTGAGGAGTGATCATAGATCTGCCCTTTCTAGGATCTTAGAGAAGACCAGGGTCAAGGAGACATGAAGGCTGGGTTTGTATGTCACAACAAGCAACCCTGAATAGTTTCCATGCTGCATGGATTTTTGCCTGGATGATCATGACAAATGATTAGGTATTTTTACACTATCACAATTTTCACCCTTCTCAGTCCTCTTGCTGTTGGCACATAGCCCATCAGCCACTGTGCCTGAAATTTAATCCTATGCTGGATGCCTGGAGCAACTCCTGCAACTGCCACTCTTTCCAGGGGACTCTGTGGTACCTGCATACTAGGATTGTGGAAGCCAGGGGTTGGCAACCCGCGACTCCTGAGCCGCACGTGGCTCTTGAATCTCTCTGTGCAGCTCCGTTGCCCAAAATATGCGTCACAGCCGCTGATCTGCGACCGAAGCTCCGAGTTACAAAATACCAATAGGTGATGATGAGGCATCCACTCAGGAACGCTGCACTAGCTGGTTAAGTAAATTGCGACATTGCAGGGAAAGAGTGGAACAAGCTTCCTGCAGGCTCTCATGTTACAGGAAATGACTGCTGAAAAGATTCTTTGTCCCAATGTAATCTCCTTCCTCTGAATGATAAAAGCTCTCACAATTCACATCACTTGACTGTTTATCTGCTAATCAGTCACTAAACACACCTATATCTGCGACTCCCCCCCCCCCCCCCCCCCGTAGGTCAACCATGGATAAATGATGAAGAAAAGTTTCTGAAGAAAATCAAATGTTTAATAGTATGTGGGTAGATTCATTTGCTTTTACTGCTGACAAACTTATGGGGTTTGCTGTTTAATGCATACAGCCCTTTAGCACTGACTTTGACTCTTCAGGAAGCTGTTCTCCTATTCAAAATATATGAAAGGAGTCCTACTACTTTATAATGTAAGATTAAACATAACAGTTTTTAGAGACTGAACAAAAGCTGCAGCTAAATCATAATGAAGATATACATAGCATTAAGGTAAAAAAAGATATATGCAGTGTTATCTTCATTTTAGATGTCAAAAAGGATTTGCAGCTCCCAGTGTTTCTTTTGTGTGGGAAACGGGTCCAAATGGCTCTTTGAGTGTTAAAGGTTGCCAACCCCTGGTGGAAGCCATGATGCCAGGTTTGGATAGACAGAAAAACTACAGTGAAGCATGGAAACGAAAGAATGGACTGCTGTGATTTCATGGTTTCTAAAGACCAAATGTACTATGCTGAAATACCATGACAAGGTTTAGTCAACACAAGACCATCCTGCTCAAGAAACCACCTTGGCTTGTTGTGTTGCACAAACCCACCAAAGGAAGGAAAGGCATCCTGTGATGAGGTAGATCATGTTTTGTTCTGTGACACATTATTACACCTTATTCTGACATAGCCAGGTATAAGAAGAAAGGGGCTGCAGAAGGGAGGTGAGGGGAAAGTTCAGAAATCCAGGGAATCAGAAATGCTTCTACTGGTTCTATTAGTTTGAAAACAACTGACAGTCACTCACATATTCCAAACTATTCCCTACAATCATTTGTCAAAGCTCTCACCATCTACCTGCATTTGTCTGTTTCCTGGAAAGTCTCTCCTGATTCAAAGAAGAACACAAAACAAGCTTTTGTGTATTACCAGTTAAAGCAGTACCAGTGAGCTTGACTGAGCAGATCTGGAATATTTTGATGTTGCAATGCCAAAAAAGGGCCCAACATGGTTTTACTGAGGGCCAGTTTATAGTATTTTTCTCTGAACGTGGCAAAGCTGGCCTGGTTTTACTGAATTAAAGGTAAAGGTAAAGGTTTCCCCTTGACATTAAGTCCAGTCATGCCTGACTCTAGGGGGCGGTGCTCATCTCCGTTTCCTAGCCGAGGGAGCCGGTGCTTGTCTGCAGACAGTCTCCGTGGTCATGTGGCCGGCATGACTAAACACCGAAGTGCACAGAACACTGTTACCTGCCCACTGAAGTGGTACCTTTTTATCTACTTGCATTTGCACGCTTTCGAACTGCAAGGCTGGCAGGAGCTGGGATGGAGCAATGGGAACTCACCCCGTTGTGCAGATTCGAACTGGCGACCTTTCGATCAACCAGCCCAGCAGCACAGCAGTTTAAACCACTGTACCACCTGCAGTCCCTTTTACTGAATTACTAGTTTGCTATTGCTTCTAGTGAAGACACATGGTACAAAACTAATCTCAGCTGATTGTTCAGTACTGGGATGGGAACATGGTTCTCTTAAAGTCTTGGCCTAGAATTCTGGTCAGACCTAATAAGCTAGTTAACTCATGATGAATATTATGGGAGTTGTAGGCCAAAATATCTGGAGCGCTACAAGTTGTTCAAGCCTGCAGTAATGAGTCAGTTTAGGGATACTGGTGCATGTGAGAGATTTGATGTCTGGTTAAGAAAAGTAAGCCAGGGGATTGTGTGTGATGAAGAGCATCTGCTTGTACCAGTCTGAGATTCCCTATTTCTGAGATTTACCTTATATGCTGGAACTGTTAAAAAAAATTAGAAAACACCACACAATTAATATTTTACATTCCCAGCTCTACCAAATGAAATTGTGAAATCGGTGAATATTAAAAAAAATCTTAACCTTCTTGCTATGAGGTTACCACTCAAAATGCAACTTAATGATACATACTTAAGTATATTTTCAATTAAGTTTAATAGCAGCATATGCTATGCTTTGTGAAATCATGCATGGTAAAAATGAGGCTGACAGATTAGATTTGCATCTATTAATTTTTTATTCCATAAATATAACATGCCAATTAAAGTCTTGCCCCTGCCTGTTCTGCTGTGTGGTCAGATCCTTGAGAATAAATGAATAGAACACATTGCTTAAGCTGTCAGGCCATAAACAAATGAAGTACATTAATGTGCAAAGATCATTAACAAAGCCACAGGTATATCAATAGGTAATTACTTTATCCCACAAAAGCTCACACCAGGGAATTTCTTTTACTCCCTGGCCACTTACATTCAAGGTGACTCAAGGTTCTGTTCTGTCCCTTATGCTTTTCAACAGCCACATGAATCCCCAGAAAGAAGTTATCTAGCCATTTGAGCTGCTCTAAATCTACTGCAAGGCCAAAGCTACTGTGAGCAATGTTGTCATCTCGTTTTGAGGCCACATTTTGCTAAGGTATCATCAACATGTGGATGAAATACAGCTCTGCCTCTCCTTTCTAACCTCTGGGAGGCAGTTAGAGCACCTGAGAGCAGAACTGGTGTTTAATCTGGATAAGAGAGAAGTATTGGATGGAGATTTAGGTCAGACTCTGAATGGGGGTCACACTCCTTGAAGGAATGGAACAGAAGTGCTCCTGGACTGCACGCTGTCTGTGGAGGCACAGATTACGCTGGTTGCCAGCAGCTCTGCTTGGTTTATGGCATCAGGACCACAAAGAGTGGACCTACCCATTGCGAGACATGCACTGGTCCTGTCCAGGCCAGATCACTGGAATGCCTTTGAAGCAAGCTCAGAAACAGCAACTCATATAGAGCATGGAAGCTTTGGGAAAGTCAGTACTCAGACTAGAAAAGTTAGAAACAGCATGTACTTACAAATGAACCACCATAAAGCCTGTTAATTTTTAAAAAATATATACTGTGGAAAATGGTCATCACTGCAGAGAGGGAGAGGATGCAAATGAGGGTAGAGGAGGGCTTCCAAAAGTATACCTTCCTGCCCTGCACACCTGGAGAGGGAAATCTCTCCAGCATTTCTTTGCTGCAAAGAGGAAGTACTGGTGTGTTTGGGTGGGGGAGCAGGTAGAGATATTCATAGTTTTTCCACTTTCACGGGGTCCTGAGCCCCTAACCCCCACAAATGTGGAGGGCCAACCATTTGACTTAAATATGAATTTCCATCTTCTCATGAACGGAACTTGTTTCTGACCTGGGGACTACCCGCATTCTGCATCATGTACATTAACCATATTAATTTCTGGGTGCAAATCAAGGTGTTGGTTTTAGATGTGAAAGCCATGGATAGGTAGGGACCACACTCTCTGAACAATTATTTACATCTGTATGAGCCTGCCCAAGTGTAAGATGAGCACTGGAGGCCCTACTCCCTGGCACACAAATGGGAGCCATTAGGCAGATACTGGAAGAAGGCTCTTTGGGACGCCTTCCTTCAGGGGACTACACATGCCCTCCTCACTGATGGCTTGAAAAGACACATGTATTCCGGTACTGCCTTTGGTACAGTAAAAGGATTCAGCTACTGCGTTGTGTGTATGTGTGAGCATCACATGTTTAAACTGCAATTGTATTTCTACATTTCGTAATATGAAGATAGACAGTGCTAGATGTAGGGTCATGCCATGGACTGGTATATATTCTGAAAAAGCAAGTCTGGAACATCAGGTATACCGTGCCTGATCCTTTGAAAAAGACAAGATCGGTTTGTAAAAAATGAGGTTGTTGACCATCATACAGCCTCCCTGCACCCCTAAGGCCCTGAAAATTTCTGCCAATCCATCACATCACTTTAAGTATAGCAGCAATGGCCCCCTTACCCACAACAGCTGGGAGCACATCAGTGACAAACTGGCTCTTCCTCAGTTTCAATGGTAGTCTTGCCATTCACTGTAATTCTCCTTGTAATGACCTTTTTGTCCTTCAGGATCTTGCTGGTTGTTATAATGGACTTGAACCTGCCTTTCTTGCTGCTGTTCAGAGATGCACCAGAAGAGCAGGAACAGGCCTCAGTAATCCCAGAACCAAAGGAAGTAAACCCGGTTCCTGGAATAGGAGACACCCCCCTGATAGAGACAGAAAAGTCACTGTGACTTCTGCTTCTATGGAGCCTTTGCTGGACACTGGCAATGTCATCAAGCAGATCATTTAAGATATTGAATGAAAAAGAGTCCGTTTCCTTGTGTCCACCCAGATGGGGCCTGTGGAAACTGAGTTCAGTGTCAACGTGTCGTTCTTCATACCCCTTGTCTCCATGTCCTCTGTCGTGTCTAGTGGTACCTCTTCTGCCTCCAGGCCTTTCTTTCCCACTTGTATTCCCTTTGACAGATTGGTCATAGGCATCTCTCTTTTTGGCATCAGATAAGACCTCATACGCTTTAGAGATTTCTACGAACTTCTTCTCTGCTGCTTCCCTGTTTCCTGGATTTTTATCAGGATGTACCTTTAAAGCCAGCTGTCGGTACGCTTTTTTAATTTTATCTGCAGATGCAGTTCTTTGGACTCCTAGAACCTCATAGTAATTCACCATTTTCTTCAAACAATATCAGTCACTTAAACTGCTGTAGGCAAATACCTGAACAATACTCCAATACCTCTGGGCCCCTTGGCAATCTCACCATTCAAAAGAAAACAGGTCTAACAGAAGACTAAAAATTATATACTCCTGTGAGTAGCACCATGTTCGGGGCTGTGGTAAGATATGTGGGCTACTGGAAAAGAGGTGGAGGCAGTTGATTTCTAAATGGCTCAAACGGTCCAGGGTCAAGGACAGATTATGACATCACCATTATTCCCATGAACAGATTGCAGTCATTTGCATACTGCAATCCCACTGGTCGATGAGGTGCCATCGAGTCCTTCAAAGAATGACAGCAGCACAGGGATGAACACTACTGCATTGTATTTTGATTTCAGAAACTGGCACTGAGGTGTTACTTTATCCCATGCACATACAAAGCACAAGATGTCAAAAGAACCACACTGCAATTATGTCTGTTCTAAACAATACAGACACTTAGCCCAGCTGCACTGCTGTCCCGTCCCCCCACAAAGACAGACTTTATTTCTGTGCTGCCTGTAGCTGAAGCTCTCTGGGTAGTGTACAGCAAAATATAAAAACAATAAAACACAATCAATAAAAACAGTAAGAATTAAAAATCAATTTAAAATAACATAGAAGATTGAAAGGCAAATAAAAAGACCAGGCCAAGAGTAAAAGGCACCTGGCTAATTAAAAGGCACCAGTCTTTAAAGGCCTCTACAAAGAAGGTTGTTTTAACCTGGCATTGAACAGATGGCAAATTTGGTGCCAGGTGGGTCACAGCAGGGAGGTTGTTCCAAAGATGGGGAGCCACCATGGAAAAGGCCCTCCCTCTAGTTGCCACCCTCCAAACCTCTTGAGGGGTTGACACCTGGAGGAAGGAAGGCAAAGCTACAGACACAAACCACAGGCACGGCATTCCAACAACTTAATAAAAAATCAATGAACACAATATCTGCAGATATATTTTAATCTAAATTAAGGTATCCATCTCTGTAATATCCTTTTAGGTTGATGGGCCATCTTTAGATGTATGTGATACAGATGCTATCTGGAAAGACTGTTTCAAGTATGAATGGCTGCTGCCTTTCCTTTTGGTTTCTTCTGGCTTCTGTTTAGTAAAACCCTACAGCTCTTAGTTTGCTAATTTTCACTTTACATATTAATATGGAACTTTTCCTTGTCTGCATGGTCAGAAACTAATAGCATGTAGTGACTAAACTGAAAATTACACTCACAATCATAGAACCATAGAATTGTAGTTAGAAGGAGCCAGAAGGCCATCAGGTCCAACCCCCTGCTCAGTGCAGGACAAGTTAAACCTTCCCTTCCAGATGGCTGCCCTGTTGCATCTTGAATGCCTCTAGTGTGAGAGAGTCCACAACCTCCCTAGGTCATTGGTTACATTGTCCTACTGCTCTAACAGTCAGGAAATTCTTCCTGATATCTAGCCAGAATCTGGCTTCCTGTAACTTGAGCACATTATTCTGTGTCCTGCACTCTGGAATGATCAAGAAGAGATCTTGTCCTTCCTCTTTGTGACAGCCTTTCAAGTACTTGTAAAGTGCTATCATATCACCCCTTAGTCTTCTCTTCTTGAAGCTGAGCATGCCCAGTCCTCTAAGTCTCTCTTCATAGGGCTTTGCTTCCAGTCCATGGATCATCCTTGTTGCCCTTCTCTGAATCCTTTCCAGGTTGGGTGCATCTTTCTTAAACTGTGGTGCCCAAAAGTGGACTCAGTACTCCAGATAAGGGGGAAGTAGTAAAGGGGATTAAAAATAGAAGTGGCCTTTTTGTAGCCACATCACATTGTTGACTCATATTCAGCTTGTTGCCCACAACAATTTCAAGCTCCACCTCACTTGCAATATAGTTGAGCCAAATATCCTCATCTTGTACTTGGTTTCTTTTTTTCTAGGTGCAGAGCACCCAGCCAGTTTTGTGTCATTTGCAGATCTGATAATCATTCCCTGTACTTCCTCATCCAAGTCATTAATGAAAATTGTGAATAGCACTGGGCCTGGGACTGAACCCTGCTGTATGCCACCTGTTACCTCTCCCCAGTTTGAGAAGGTGCTATTGATGAACAGTTTTTGAGTCCAAGTCTGTAGACAACTGTTGATCCACCAGATAGTTATTCCATCTAGCCCACTTTTTGTTAGTTTGCTGATCAGGATATCATGGGGCACTTTGTCAAAATCTTTGCTGAAATCAAGATAGATAATGTCCACAGCATTCCCACAGTCCACCAGGGAAGTTACCCAGTCAAAAAATGAAATTGGATTAGTCTGGCAGGATTTGTTCCTGAGAAATCCATGTTGGCTTCTAGTAATCACTGCATTGTTTTCAAGGTGTTTGACTGCTTTATAATCTGCTCCAGAATTTTCCCAGGGACAGATGTCAGACTGGTCTGCAGTTCCCAGGTTCTTCTTTGTTTCCTTTCTTGAAGACAGGGACAACATTACTCCTTCTCCAGTCATCTGGCACTTCCCCTGCCCCCCATCCTCCATGTTTTCTCAAAGATAACAGGATAATAGGTTCTGAGAGTTCTTCTGCCAGCTCTTTAATGACTCTAGGATGGAGTTCATTGTGCCCTGGAGATTTGACCCAACTAAATGATCCTTGACCATTTGCCTATGAATCTTGAACTGCCATTCTGCTCCCCTTCATCGGGAAGGTCATAGATCTTCTTTTGGAAGATGGCTGAGCCAAAGTAGGAATTGAACACTTCTGCCTTTTCTTTGCCACTAAGCTCATCTTCCTGTATTTCTGTGCAGAGATATGCATTTTTAACATACAGTCTGCCTCCACCTCCCTTTCTGTTCCTGCTGTTCTTCTTCCACAGGTTATATTATTCAATGGTTGAATTCCAGTGAAGGGGGTTATCCAGCCAAATGTCAGTTATACCTATCAGGTCATATTCACTCTCCTGTATTAAGAGTTCAAGTTCATGCTCTTTGTTTCCCATACTCTGGGCATTAGTATCAAAAATCAGGTCCTTTAGCTTTCTTCCAACATTTTTGGAAGACCACTATTGGGCACTGTTAGAGATGCTCTCTCTGTTGTGGTGCATAAGCCTTTGTCTGTTGTTATGCCCAGGTGTACTTCTCCCTCCCTGTAAGATGTCATTTAAAGCCCTGCTGATAAACTACTTCATACTGTAGCCAAAAACACTTTGCAGTCCATCCCTTGCCAGCAGTCCATCTTCCAGGAAGTGTAGCCCGTGGTCCCAGAATCCAAATCTCTCACGTTGGCACCACCTTGGTAGCCAGGCATTCACTTGGAGTATTTCACTTTCCCTGTCTATTCCTCTTCCAAGAACTGGAAAACTATCTGGGCCCAAAGTTCTTGACTCTCTTCCCTAAAGCTTCAAAGTCTGACATGATTTCTTCAAAGCTCTACTTGGCAGTGTCATTTGTTCCCACATGTATAAGAAGGAAGGGATACAGGCCAGTGGGCTGTATGAGCCTTGGCAATCTTTCAGTTATATCACTAATCTGTCCTCCAGGGAGACAGCATACCTGACAAGTTCACAGGTCATCCTGATGTACATGGATTTCCATCCCATGAAAAAGGGTCTCCCACAACTCATACTCTTCTCTTCCTGCTCTTGCAAGGCTTTCTGTCATTGCTACCACTTGGTTGGCCTCTTGTTCAGTGTTGCTTGGGACATCTTGCAGTTCTTCCACAGCAGGCTGCCTCCCAGTCTCACCCTTGAGTAATTGAAAGCATTTTGAGAGTCCCACTGTTTCCAGTGGTGCACAGTATCTTCTAGTTCTTCTGCACCTAACTTTCACCCTTTTCCAGAGAGCTTCCTTTTCATTTCCCCTTTCCTCAGGATTCTCCTCTTCTGCCTCAGCTTGCTGTCGCACTTCTGGGTTCTGTACTACTTTTAGCTGTTGCAGTCCCATCACTCTGTCTAAAAACTCTTCATCTTCTTTTATTACCTTGAAGGTGGGCCTGCACTGCTTTAGTGCTCTCACCTTTTCTTCTAATAGGGCTTCTTCTAAGATGAGCTAGTGTTCATTGCACATGTAGGCCATGTTGACCTCAAGTGGAAAAACAAACATAACACAGATGTTGCAGACCAACACCACTGAGGAGTCTTCTCTGTCCTTTCTGCTTCCTTTTTGATTCTAGCTTGCTGGGCCTGTTGTAGCAACCGGTGCTTTCTCCTGTCCTCCCTGAAGGTTAACAACATAGTCCTATCACAGTAAATAGCGATGTGTTACCAGGAAGAAAACAAAGGGGGGGGGAACGAAGTGAAAATAAAGGGGGGAAAAACATTATGGACCTCCCCCTTGACCTCCCCCACTGAATTCTGCCACCAATCTCCTGTTTCTTCTCCCTGGTCTGACTTGCTCCATGGCAGCTTGGCTGCTTGTATGCGAGTCCCTAGACCAGCTGGGGTTGCTTCCTCTGATCTGTCCAGCTCCAATATACTATTTGTAATTAGAAATATAGTGAACTTCAATAGTATTTGTAGAGCCTCCTTTACATGTACCTTTAGCAATATGATCGCCACTGCTACCAAGTCTGTTCTCCTGTAAACAGAGGGATGTGTGGCCTTTAGCTGTATGAACATGATTACTGCAACAAAGGGAGGTGGAACATTTTTCAGCTCAAAGGATGAATAATGATCTGGAAAAGGTCTTGGGGGAAGGGACTGCATCTCATCTGCGAGTGGGCCAAAGGCAAGGTGGCTGTAGTCAAAACCAGAGTGGGCGGACTCACATATGAGTAACCATTTTAAACTTACTCAGAAGTAAGTGGGGCACTCAGTCTGCGTGTCTACTCAGAAATAAGCAAGACTGAACCTCTCAGCAGCACTTTTAGAGAGCACTGCACATACCAAGTGTGTGTATATCTAGCAGAAGTGAGCAGGAGCAGCAGGTCTATTCACAAGAAGCGAGACGGAATCATTGGGGGGCTTCCCCCCAAGCCCACCCCATTTCTCCTAGGAGGAAAAGTGGGTTGGAAAAACAGCTTCTCCTTTCTAGAAGAGGGGGCAGAGCCTTGGAAAGAACCTAGAAGGCTAGATATGGCACTGGCACAAGCACCCTTCTCCATTTCTGGCAGGTCGAGTCAAAAGGCTTCTAAATGCAGTCCTTGAGCAAGGCTGTCTAAGAAAAACAGTGTGAATTATAACAAAGCCGCTAACGAGTCACATCGAACAAAGCATGAGGAGTAGGGGAGGCTCTTTCCCATGTCAGGATTCATCTCCATGGGAATTCCCCTCTGCCTTCTCCCCATAAAAGGAGCTGGCTCCACTCTCAGCTTGTGAGCAAGAGGACAGGGACGCCAGACATCTCACAACTGCTCTGCTCCCTTTGGCTTGATGATGAACTTCTGGGGTGATGGACTCGCACCCCTCTCCTTCCGTTTTAGTTTATGTCCCCTGAACCAGAGACAGTCTGGCTTTCATCTGCCACTCATCCAATCTTGCTCCTTAGCCCTGGCTTGCCAAACCCTCCTCTTTTCTATCTAGCGCTTCTCCAGAGTCTGAGATTTTGAGCTTGCAATGCTGTATCCTGAGAGAAGTAGGCCCAATCCTTACAAAAACCATGTGGGCCATATCCTGCCCCATTCCTTTCATGTATCTCTCACTGTGTATTTTGAAAATTTTATTCACATTTAAAATTAAATTGTTTCTAAATTGTATGTTATGGAATTGCTCAAATGTTACAGCTGAATCTCTGTGAACTGCCTTCACCTTAGCAGGCCTTTGTAGCCCAAGGGCAGTAAAGACAGAAACCACAGCGCAGTGGTAGTAGCAACCATGCCTGCAGCAGGAATGGGCAAACTGGACTCAAGAATGTATTTATTCATTCATCCATCCATTTATTTATTATATTTATATCCCACCTTTTTCCCTTCCAAGGAACTTAAGGGGGCTTACATAATTCTTTCAACCTTACCCTTACAACAACTACCCTGTGAGGTAGGTTGGGCTGAGAGTCTGTGACTGGCCCAAAGTCACCCAGTGGACTCCATGGCTGAGCGGGGACTCGAACCCAGACTGCCTGAGTCCCAGTCTTGCACTTTTAGCCACTACACCACACTGGGTATAATTTCATGTAGACTTGAGCCTAATTTCAAAGGTCCTCTGCATGCAGTCTTTTCAGACCTCTTGCAGGAGTGAGCTATCCTTTCTCTGGCTGCTGACTTGAGGGGGAAGGAAGAGGCAGAGAGAAAAAAGGATGGCACAAAAAGAGAAAAGGAAGTGGCAGGAGGAGGATGGAGGCGTCTCACTCACTCACATCACTATCTTTGGCCCCACCCACCAGACATGTTGCGCCCAAGATTACTCAGGAGAGAGTAAGTCTACACAGCCTCCAATTATATACACATACACACACATTTTCCTATACCTGCTTGACAGGTCAGTGTAAAAAGGCTTAAAAGGGTTTTGCGTTCACTACCAGTTCAGATGTGGTAAAGTAGGAAAGACAACATGAATTAATAGCTATCTCCAGCTACGATAGCTATGTATCTTTCTTGACCGTTGTTGGATCTGATTCTTGCCAAGCCTTACTGAATTGTGCTACGCCTTGCTACCTTGCCTTGCTTGCCACGTCTTCACTGCTCCTGAAACCAGGTTTGGTTTCTCTGTTGTTCGAGACTTTGCCATAAGGGTTCTTGGTTCCTGACTTCAGCCAGTTGCTTGACTATGTCCCCAGCCTCTGACTTCACAATTGGCCTTGGACTGTGCTTCGACTCCGACCAGCCTTGAATTCTGTTACCTGGGTCCTGGTGCTTCCATCTTGACTCCTGCACCCATCTCCCAATGCTGACATTTTCTAAGCACTAAATTCTGAAGGGCTCACTTCTGTAAATGTTTGCAGTTACACAAAGCTCATCAATGGACCACCCCCTCATCCCTGTCACTTATTACAGAAGCAGAAATGGGCAATGTGTAGGCCAAAACATCTGGGGGAGGGGCACAGCTCTCATCATTCATTACCATTGCCAGTGCTGGCCAAGGATGATGGATATTGCATCTCTTCAGCTGTTTTGGACTACAAATTCCCTACTCCTGCTGTAAAGGGCATTCATTATAGCCAGGGCCCTGGTAATGGAGCTTAGGAGACTATCCTATGCTTGCCTTCTAGAACTATCCATCATATAATTCAACTAATTTCAGTAAATCTAGTCCTAAGTGATCATTGCTTCCAATGATTTTTGCTCACCTGTCTCCCTGGGCTGAGAGACAAAGGTAAAGATGGATTGTCCAAACAGATTTACCTGCTCTTGGAAAGCGTTTGCTTGTTCTTCAAAGCCCGCTGTTCTGAAATAATTCACCACATCTGTAACCGCCCAGTCAGCAGGATCAGGAGGTCTTCCATTCTCTACCAAGCTACAGAAATTCATAACATTTTATGAAATTTTTAAAAATGCAGACAAAATGTCACTGTGCATAGGCATACCTCTGGCTGCCCCCTCATGTCATCTCATGGAGTGAAGTTTAGTAAAGTTATAAACTGCTGGAATTCGTAAAAGAACTACCTAAAAGAATGGTTAATACTTGTTTGTGCCTTCAAAACTCAAACATAACAATTAAGCATTTTTAAAAGTGTGCTATTTTTTAAAGGTATGATTCAGAGTCTCTGCTTCTGAAATGATCTTTTCTTTGGGAAAGTTTCCCTGACATTCTGTGACAAACAGAATCAATTGAGATAATATGTTAAATATGTCCCAGGCAGTACTTTAGAATATTTTGCCTGCTTTTATTGCTGACAAGGAGTGTATTTCTCTCCTATGTTTTGCCTTCTCATAAGCTCACCATGTATGTTAACACAGGAGCTGAACATACAGACTTCAGTCCAAACTTCCTATGTTTTAATGCCCACCATTTCTCCAAGAAACTTGGAGCAGTATACATAGTTTTCATATCCCCTTTCTCTCACAGCAGCCCTGTCAGGTGGATAGCTTGTTACAGCTGAGTGGGGTCTGAACCTGGATCTGCACTAAGCCACTGCTCCACAGCCACTGCTCCACACTGGCTTGGCTTAAGGGTTGCAGGCAGCTGTGTGCGCACCACGGGGAAGTGTGCAGGGACTGCTGCCTGAACTAAACAGTGACATGCTGGTTTCTTTTAAGCGCTTTGTAGCCCTGCCCTTCACCACAAGTGTGCAGGCTTCCCCCTCCCAGCCCATGTCTTCTCATAGCACCTCTACAAGCTAGGATAGGCTGAAAGGTAGTGACTGGGCAAAGGTTGCCTGGTGATCTCTCTATCTGAGTGAGGATTTGAACCCAAGTCTCCCCAGTCTAACCACTAGACCACACAGACTCTCAGCAAAGTAAGAATGCTTACTATTTCCATAGCACTTTGGAGTGCTGAAATTGGTTCGCCCACATTACCCAGTAATCCAAACAGCTATCCTGCAAGAGTAGCAATATGACTATTTGCAAATTGCAAACAGGGGGCATCAGGGAGATAAGCATTTGAGATCTGGATGTTGCCGTTGATGGTACAGTGGCAGGAGGGTTATCTTGCGCTAAACTTCTTAACTCACCCTGAGCTCCTATCTGGCAGGAGGGTTTACACACAGATGAATCCATAAATAAAGTTTTTGGACCTCCCAGCCAAGTGGCATGTTTCACTTCTACCCAGCTACTGGACTTCAGAACATGGATAGTGTACTGCAGACCTGCAGAATGTTGGTAACAGACTTGAGATTTGAGTGCTTCTGCACATCATAATCTCCCTGAATGTGGAAAGCAAGCATGGCAGGCAGAACTGTTCTGGCCTCGTGTTCTCCATGATGAGCTAATTGCCTACATGAAAGGAGTTTCTTTCTTCTAATTTTAAGGGTTCTGGTAATCCAGACACCAGATTTGTTATAAAGATAATTATATCTCATTCAATAAAACTAGTCAGGTCTGAAGCTGGCTCCTGATCAATGTACCTAAGGTGAACAGAAAGTATAACAGAATCTAGGCGGTTCTGACTATGAAGGTATGGTATGATTAATATAGTTTGGAGCAGTGTAACAAAACTGCTACACAAACCTGTTGAATCAGCTACTACTTATCTCTGAAATGCATTCCTCTATATTTAAAAGGAAGTACATTAGCAAATGAAATGTGGTAAGTTTCTGTTTGTTTCAAACAGGATTGGGCAGTTTAGTACCAACCCATTCTCAACATTATTTTTTTTAGTGGAAGCAGTATGTTGTAGGAAAGCAACACAACTGGAATAGTCTTTTCCCAAATTTTTAGGTCTGCTCTAGATTTTTTCAGCCTCTGAAGGGGTGTGAGACCCATTGAGATGGTCTATCCTTGGAGGCTGATGGATCCAGACGGTTTCCAGAGGTCTCTGGGGAACTTTCTGGCTGATGTGGCTGGTGGTTCTGTCAAATCCCTGGTTGACCTCTGGAATACAGAGATGACGCAGGCAGATGACACAATTGCTCCTCAGCCCCCTTTCTGTAGTAATGCTCATATGGCTATGTCGTATACTCCAGATCTGAGAGTGATTTTTACAAAAGCAGATGGCTTGAGTGCAGATAGAGGAGGATTCCTAGGGGGTACAACTGAGCCCTGGTATGTACCCATACCTGAGTACGTTTGGAGTCAGCGAGAGCAGCAAAGAAGCAATATTTGACTGACTCTATGCAATCGTCTCTGTCATGCAGCAGAGCTTTTTAGGGTTGCCCAGGGCCTACTACATGCTGGTTCCAAGGTCAAGCTGGAGCCAGATATATGTTGCTACATATATTCCAGGATAAAACCTCTTGCATCTGCCAAGTCATAAACATCAGTGTTATTGCAATGCATTTAGGTGAAACATCCAAAGCACAGCTTGTTCAAATTTTCTTGGACGGGTTCCAGTTGCTACAGCTTGAGGATATTGACGAAGTGCTTGGCCAGATTTGTGGAACCACATCCATACTGGATCCTTGCCCTTCTTGGCTAATAAAAGCTAGCAGGGAGGGAATTGCTGGCTGGGCCTGGGGTGAGATTAATGCCTCTTTATGAGAAGCAGTGGTCCCATGCCACCTGAAATAGATCCTTGTGAAGCCACTGCAGAAGCAGCCCTCTATGGACCCAGAATAATTTATCAATGTTAGGCTGGTACAAACATCCCCTTCGTGGACAAGGTTCATGAGAGAGTAGTGACCTACAAACTCTAGGAACTCTTGGATGAGAGCGATTACCTGAATCCATTTTAGTCAGGGTTCAGGCTGGTTTTGGCATAGAAATAGCCTAGGTCACCTTGTATGATGACCTACATTGGGAGAGAGAGAAGGAGCGTGACAGAGATAGCCTGGTTTCAGTAATCTATGTGCTGATAAATTCTAAAATAGATTACTGCAATGCACTGCAGATGGGGTGCCCTTAAAGACTGTTCAGAAGCTGAAACTTGTGCAAAATGCAGCAACTAGATTAATAACAGGGACCACATAGTCTGAACATGTAACACCAATTCTGGCCCTCTTGCATTGGCTGTCTAAATGCATTTGAGCTCAAGTCAAGCTTAACGTATAAAGTCCTATACAGCTTGGGATCACAAGTACCTGATGGAACACTTCTCCCAACCTCAGTCTATCCAGCCACTATGATCAAGATCTAGGTCCTACCTCCAAGGAAGATTTGGCTGGTAGCAACAAGGAGAAGGGCCCTTTCATCACATGCTCAGTATCAAACTCCACCGTTTCTGAAGTTAATTATGTTTCTCTACACCTTAAAAAAAGAAGCCAGGCTCAGTTACCATTCAACTCCTCATCCTATAAGCCAGAAGGCCAAGTATTAAATCTGAAGTAGTCAAGCCTTGATTCTTCTATAATCAATTCAAATGGAGACTGCAGCCAAGATTGAGGCTTGGAAAGGTAGCAATGAGGAACTAGAAAAGATTGTCAAGTGTAAAGATGTTTTAGTGGAGATGAAGGCTAAGATCATCCACACTATGGTATTCTTGATCATTATGTATGGATGTGAAAGCTGGGCAATGAAGAGAACTGAGAGAAAGAACATTGATGCTTTCAAACAAAGGTGCTGAAGGAGAGATTTGTGGATACCCTGGGCCAACAGAAAAAGGAGCAAATGTTTCCTAGATCAAATCAAACCAGAACTTTCCTTGGAAGCAAAAATGACAAAACTGAGCTGTCGCAATTTGGGCATATTACAAAAAGGCAAATCCACTGTAGAAGACAATAATGCTTAGAGAAAATCAACTGTGAGATGGATTGACTCCATAAAGGAAGCCACAGCCTTGTGTGTGCAAGAGCTGAGCAGAACTGTCAAGGACAAGACATTTTAGAAGGCTTGCATTCATAGGGTCATCCTAATTCTGATGGCACATAACAACAACAATCTTAAGAGTATAATATATGAGTTTTATTGCATATCAGTCTATCAGATCAATTCATTTGGAAAAACAGATGAATGAGGGTGGAGGAACCTTGCCCAGACTGGAGGCTGGGACTCCTGAAACAATGGGCTGGAAAAAGCTGTACCATCTTATGATAACTAGACAGAGCAAATATATTTCATCTAGAAATTATCTACCTATGCATTACAACACCACTTAATCAGCATAATTCCTGGAAGACTAGGAAAGAAAAACAGATGTGTCTGAAAAACAGGCATATATTATGCATAAGGGTGTGGACTGTATTAAGATGGAGCCTTATGGATCCCGATGGTTTCCTGAGGGCTCTGGGGGATTTTCCAGTTGATACAGCAGGCACTCCTGTTAATGTCCTGGTTGATTTGTGGAATGGGGAAATGCAGGGCAATGAACACAATCGCTCCTAAGCGTCCTCTCCTGCCATGCAGAGCACACTCAGTGCCATGGTATACGCCTGGCCTGCAGCTGATGACGCAAGCTGGGAGACGACGAGAGTGGATGAAATTCCTGGATGAAATTCCAAGACAAATCTGGGTGAACACACTTAAGAGCTCACTATTGAGTCTAGGCTGTGGTAGTGAGGGTGCTGAAGAAGAAATTCTTCTTCACTTCCATCGCATCTTCACAGGGCCATCCAGTGGAGCTCTTTTGGGTGGTGTGGGGCCTATTACACCCTGGCCCCAAAAAGGACCCTATTACACCACCAGTAGCCCACTGTGATGACTTTGCCCAGCTCCTTAGGGATAAAATCGCTCAGATTCACCACAAAGTGGACTCCACAGTTTATCTGGCTTTGGTCCAGGAGGCGTCCAGACCACTGTCTGGCCCACTTTTACTGGATAGGTTTCAGTTGTTGCAGCCTGAGGATGTGGACAAGTTACTTGGACTGGTCCATCCTACTATTTGTCTGCTCAACCCTTGCCCCTCATGGCTGCTTGTCAGAGTCAATTACGGGATATGTACCTGGATCCAGGAAGTCATCAATGCCTCTCTGAGGGAGGGCT